TAGCTTTTTTAAGGTATCTACCCACCACTTCGTTAATCTCTGACCCATTCTCTTGTCGGTGCCCCTGATTTTCCCCCAAAAATGTGCAGACTCAAACCATTATCCGTTTCATATGGGTAACCGCGGAATAATCCAACCTGTACAGTTTCCAGCCTCGCTCAACACAAAAAACTTAGGTAAATCATCAAAGTGCAACTGCGAAAAATAATACAGTGTTCTTAGCTGGTAGCAATCTTGGCGTGAGCCAAGTGCTGACTCCAACGCTGTTCCGTTACGCTTGTTGCAGATCTCAACATAAAGAGTGATGCCATCCAATCGTCGGCGAAATCCCTACGCCTTAAGTACAGGGGCTGCACGGAAAGACGCCTGGGGCGCAACCCAGATCTCAAGGGGAAGCGGGCACCCAGTGCACACGCCTGGCTAACGGGCCCGGTCCTCGCAGCGGAGTGCTTGAGTGAGGTGTTCCATAAGCACTGGCCTGCACGCCTGGCTAACGGGCCCGGTCCTCGCAGCGGAGTCCTTGAGTGAGGTGTTCCACAAGCACTGGCCTGGCTAACGGGCCCGGCCCTCGCAGCGGAGTCCCTGAGTGAGGTGTACCACAAGCACTGGCCTGGCTAACGGGCCCGGCCCTCGCAGCGGAGTCCCTGAGTGAGGTACTCCATAAGCACTGGCCTGAAAACTCAAGGGTGCCTGCTTGACCTCGTATCACTGCTGCCCATGCCTAGGCCCACTGTATGCAGCCCAGGTCCTTTTTGCACGGCGAAACAAAACTAGATGCTTCCGTCCGTGCAACGTCCGCGATTCCCATCAGGGGTTAAAGCAACGCACACCGTTCCACCTCAATGGTATCTGAAAGCTTGAGAAATGGACATTACGCTGGGAATAGGCAGATTGAAGCAAACCGCGCCACGGATTCGGTGCTGCTGTCAAGCACAAGTTATTGCTGACCCGGAGGAATTTCCAGTCGTGCAGCTAACAGCGAAACGCGGGGAACACACCAGAGCCGTTCCAATCGCAGTCAGCTGGACTTGGTGGCTGAGACACCAGGTCGGACATCGAGCGGAGCTCGAATAATCAACGCAGCTTCGCTGCATTAAAACAGCATCGCTATATACATATATATATATATATATATATATATATATATATATATATATATATATATGTATGTATGTATGTATATCGCCATCTGGAACAGCAGCATCGCATCCGCATCGCAACACCAGGCTATATGGAACAGCATCGCCGTCAAGGTACACACCAATGCCGAAATAAAACGAAGGAAACTATGACAGCAGATATTGATTCCCATATGTAGCATCATTATTGTGCATTTTGAAACGTCATTACTCAAGTTTGTGATGAAGGGTAGGTTTAAATGCCAATTGCCTAGTTGTTTTTGTTTTTGTTTTTGTTTTTTGTTTTTGCTTGATGGCATGCAAGTTTAAAATTCGGGACCATTGTGCAGTACCGTATCAGGCATGGCTGCAAAAAAACGTCAAAACACAGGGTTCACATTTGTCTACATCACATTGCACGCAAAGCTAGCTGGCACATGACGTATACACCAACCACACACACTAAGGAGAAGCGTAAGCAGATTTCAGCTGGTACCAAAGCACGCTCACAGGACACGAACACACCATTCCGAATATGAATTCAAGCCTATATACATACCGGCCTTTACAAACACCTCCTTGTAGCAAGAGCTTTCCTGCTCCAACCTTAAGTCTTCTTGTTCGCTCTTGCTCACATTATGCTGGTGGCACGCCATATACCACTTTCCGTAGCCATGCTGTCTCGTGCTGTCGTGGGTGCATTTTTGGATATGTACTGTCCAACCGTCTGTTTAAGGGAGACATTTGTGATTTACTTTTAACAACTATTACTAACAATTCACTGAATGGAAGGTCTGCTCGGTTGCCGACAATCCTGCCCTCGGCATTTCACCCATTTATTCGTTGCTGCAAAATTATTAGTGAAGCAATCGCTAGTGCTTGATTGCAGTGGTACAGTCCTACCGATCACACTTCTGGTGCAGACCGAGAGCTCACCAGGTAACCCCAGTGTTAGATTACATTGGTGCCGTCCTATTGACCAGACGTATGGCGCAGACCGAGAGCTCGCCAGCCAATGGCAGCACGCTGGGATGAGCCACAATGCCACAGCCCGTACAGGTGCGGAGCATACACTCTTTACGGCGACGTGCACTGCAGCTCTACGACTCAGTCTTTTTACAAAATCTGCGGACTGTTCCGTGTTTAAAGCGGACATTGTCGAATGTTCTGCACATTGCCGAATGTTCTGCACATTGTGTGAGAAAATCCAGCAGTTGTGCAAGTGCGGCTTAATTCACTTGAGCCATATAGGCAAAACCTTTCGATGGTTACCCAGTCGCTTGGATTGAACGCATTTGATGCCTCTAGTTCATCAGCTGAGTAAGCCAGTAGCTGCGGGCCATTTCCCACGTCAAGCACGTCATTTACAACGATTCTGAATAATGGAACTTCCTCACTGAAAGCAATGGCAAGAGAAAACTCCCTGGGCTGGCATCCTTTTGCTCGACAAGTACCACGTTCCTTTTGGTATGCTGCGTCAAAAGGCAACATTCTCCGGCATTGGGACAGTTTCCTCCTCTAGGTATTGTTCCAAAAAGTCACTAACATGAATGGTTCGGACTTCATTCGCTCCCCAGTTCTTACATTTTTGCGGTCCACCAACGTGCACCGAAAGATATTGCATTTTGATTTGATATTGTCGACTCAATCAAGTTTCACCGCAGCTGTGGACACAACTTATACCAGTAGACAATGTTTTTACATCTCGAGGGTAGTTACCACAAGCTTCCATCGTTATTTGCTTCAAGCTCTCAGACAGACTGAAGGTATGTGTAGTAAGTTGTAGCCGTAGCTAGACGCTGTGCCGAAAGGTATGTGTAGTAAGTTGTATCCGTATCTAGACGCTGTGCCGAAAGTCACCTTCACAGCAGCAGTCACGGCCGCCCTGGCACCTTCCGCCCAACGAACGCCTGAATGGGCCCCAATGGAGCACTGCCGTTAATGCGGTGCTTCGCAGCGGCGGCAATGACGGATTGGGGGTGCCGTAGAGATGGTTGAGAATTGCTTTAATTTGATCTAAATCGACTGAACGAGCCACTGTATTGCTCACCAATGCAGTAATGTTTGGTTCGAATCGACTGAGACCCTCAATTTGTGGAGCGTACCTGCAATTGATGGAAGCTGAAGGAACGTTTTAGTAAATGATGACCATGAGACATGAGCACAGTCTATAGTTGGGGGAAAACGTCGAGAAAGCCCTCTGTCTGAAACAATATTTGAGCCCAAGAAGATATAATTCGGAAGACGGACGTCACATTTCAACTTCGACATGATTAACCAGAATATCAAAATTCGATGAAACCTTGTCGATCAAAATGTTTGTTTTACCCTACAGCCAGCACCAGCTCCGTCGCGCACGGGACGGCGCTCGGAAAAAGGCCCCGTGAACCCATGAGCAAGACCTCGCTTTAACACGCACCGGGTAGCCGATTGAGTACCCTTCGCTTGGATGAGGGTCGGTTTGACCCTCTGTGATCTAAAAAAAAACTAAGAGAGCTGGAGGCACCAAATTGCGCGGGTTGACCTGTATATGAACTTACTTGTAAGTGAGTTCTAGGTTCTTGGGTCATGACCCCCAGGTTAAACAAGGTCAAACATGGTTAAACTCCTGTTTGGTGTTTCAAGACCTCCCCAGACCCCTTCATACCACTCCATGAACCTAAACACCTATTCTAAGCAAAAGGTCACTGATGGCCTGCCCCATAGGTCGGCGACTTTACAAGATACATAGTTCTTATATTACAAGATTTGCTATTCAGTTACCTATAGCACAAAGTTTTATCACTGACCTGTCGCAGGTCATTGTCAGACCTTGGCTCTCAGCGAAGACAATTTCTAGAGAATCGTTCAATCTGGTGCAACAACAGGGCGTTATACGATATGACACATGTTTGAAATATAGGCAACCTAACCTAACCTATATAATAGGCAAAACGTTAATTATATTCACTATTTAATGGACTTAAGGTAAGGTATGAAGGTCGGACAGAGGTCCAAGAGGACCTGCTTTTTTAGTGAGAGCTTGTTCTATGAGTTGGTTTCTGGAGTGTTTTTTTTCGAAGTTATCAATAGCAGGAACCGCCGCATAATTTTCCATGGACTTCTCAAAAGTCAGAAAAGTTTTCTGGCCTAAGATGATACAGGTCAACATTTTGATTCTGGGAACACACATCACCTACCTTAACCCTTGACGCCCATTCAGATACGAAAGAGCAATCCATTCTCGTAGGATTTCAATCTCCATGACTTTTTAAAGGGTAAAAAGGTCACTGACCTTGAGTGCACATCAGCGACTGTTTGCTTGGAGCAGGTATCTTGGTTCCAGGCGGCTGCGTGAGGAGGTCTGGTTGGCACCTTGGACAGCAATATAGGGTATAGCCTTGTTTGACATAGTATGACCCAAATATTATGGAACCTCAAATTATAACGCCCTGTCAAAATCGATACAGCCCAGCCTACCCTGTAAATCGATACAGCCCAGCCTACCCTGTAAATTTGGTGTCTCCAGCTCTCTTCACTTTTGAGGTGTCCGGAGGTCAAGCTGAACCCTGCATCCGAGTGAAGGGCATCCAACCAGCCACCTGAACGGGTCTCAAATAGGGCTCACATTCGTGCTGGGTTTGGCACCGCACAATCTAAATCCAAGCGACCGTTATCTGGTTGATAAATGATCATTCGGAAAGTAGGCGTGTGTTGCACATCTACCTATTACAGCGGCGTAGCTAAGTTAACATAAGATGAAGCATAAAACAACTATTTCGTGTATAAAGCGCGGGTATGGTTGTACACAGCAAAAACGGCCACTTTCTTTACGTCGTATTTGGTACTTGACAAGCACTTAATATTGGTTGTGTGTGTGTGTATGTGTATGTGTGTGGACAGGTGCTGGGCCTGATGGTGGCGTGTCTCTCGCACGACCTGGACCACCGGGGCACAAACAACGCCTTCCAATCCAAGACGGACAGTCCGTTGGCAAAGCTCTACTCTACAAGCACCATGGAGCACCACCACTTCGATCAGTGCATCATGATCCTGAACAGCGAGGGCAACAACATATTCCAGGTACGTTCTCCAGCACTGTTTCAACCTGTCCTGTAAAATAAATGCAATGGCATTTTGGCCCGGTGATTAACCCTCGCCCTGATAGGGTGGACGATGCGACCCCTCCATTCCCTTAGGCTGTTTGGGCACGCCTCTTACTTGGCGTACTGCGCAATTGCGCCCCAATTTTAGCAGCGTGTGGGGCACTCACTGTGCTTGTTTTGACAGCAAAAACGTGTCCCTAGCTTTTTTAATTCGGAGCAGCGGTGGTGCTTTAAGGGACACTGTGCGGCGATCTACAGCCGGTGCACCTACTACAGTGTGGTGCTTTAAGGGACACTGTGCGGCGATCTACAGCCGGCGCACCTACTACAGTGTGGTGCTTTAAGGGACACTGTGCGGCGATCTACAGCCGGTGCACCTACTACAGTGTGGTGCTTTAAAGGACACTGTGCGGCGATCTACAGCCGGCGCACCTACCACAGTGTGGTGCTTTAAAGGACACTGTGCGGCGATCTACAGCCGGCGCACCCACTACAGTGTGGTGCTTTAAAGGACACCGTGCAGCGATCTACAGCCGGTGCACCTACTACAGTGTGGTGCTTTAAAGGACACTGTGCGGCGATCTACAGCCGGCGCACCTACTACAGTGTGGTGCTTTAAAGGACACCGTGCGGCGATCTACAGCCGGCGCCGGCGGCGCGACAACGACGGCGCGGGGCGTGGGCGGCATTGCACACAGAACTAAACAAGGAACACGGCTGTTTACTTGTTGCGTCGCCATGGGTCATGGTCTCGTAGGTATGCCGTTGTAAGGCCAAAAATTGCGATCTGCTGTAAAATTAAACTTTTGGCCCGGCATAATGGGTAAAGGTTTGACCTAATAAAAAAACAGTTCCAATCGTCAGCTTTTATTGAGAATAATATCCTCATCAGTCAGGGTTATCAAAAAAGACGGATCTGGACCAGAACTTATCCAGTGAATTGAGGTAAATAATTGCCATACAAGGGTATATGAGGTTAGTCAATGTCACGTTCCCTCCGTTTGCATGTTATGCGTAGATGCCTTCTGGTATATCTCATGACTTTCAAGCCTTACCACTCATTCCTTTCACCAGTGCATACTTCTTCAGTTCTTAGCATCCTTATTCGAGAAAAACACAAGCACGCAGCCACGCGCTGTGCACATTGCAGGCTGCTCTCCAAGACACAGCAGTGGACGGAGGTCGCTGCTCTCCAAAACACAGCAGTGGATAGAGGACGCTGCTCTCCAGGACACAGCAGTGGACAGAGGACGCTGCTCTCCAAGACACAGCAGTGAACAGAGGACGCTGCTCTTCAAGACACAGCAGTGGACAGAGAATGCTGATCTCCAAGACACAGCAGTGAACGCAGGATCCTGCTCTTCGGAGACACAGCATTGGACAGAGGACGCTGCTCTCCAAGACACAGCAGTGAACAAATGACGCTGTTCTTCGGAGACACAGCAGTGAACAAGGATTGCTCTTCGGAGACACAGCAGTGGATAGAGGACGCTGCTCTCCAAGACACAGCAGTGGACAGAGGACGCTGCTCTCCAAGACACAGCAGTGGACAGAGGACGCTGCTCTTCGGAGACACAGCAGTGGATAGAGGACACTGCTCTTCTGAGACACAGCAGTGAATAGAGGATCCTGCTCTTTGGAAACACAGCAGTGAACAGAGAACGCTGCTCTCCAAGACACAGCAGTGAACGCAGGATCCTGCTCTTCGGAGAGACAGCAGTGGACAGAGGACGCTGCTCTCCAAGACACAGCAGTGGACAGAGGACGCTGCTCTTCGGAGACACAGCAGTGGATAGAGGACACTGCTCTTCGGAGACACAGCAGTGAATAGAGGATCCTGCTCTTTGGGGACACAGCAGTGGACAGAGGATCCTGCTCTCGCAATACAAAACATGAGCATGCAATATAATATTATCTGAGCTCTCATGTCCTAAATTTAACGTCTCTACGAGGCACTATCTCACGCCTCGGGTCTTCTTTTTTTCAAGTTTCACGACTGCTTTGAGGCCGCGTGCGTGCGCGTGTGAGGGAGTGCGCGCGAGCGTTAGTGTTTGTGGTGCGTACGCGTGTAACTACGTGTGTGTGTGTGTGTGTGTGTGTGTGTGTGTGTGTGTGTGTGTGTGTGTGTGTGTGTGTATGTGTGTGTGTGTGTATGTGTGTGTGTGTGTATATGTGTGTATGTGTGTGTGTGTGTATGTGTGTGTGTGTGTGTGTGTGCGTGTGTGTGTGTGTGTGTGTGTGTGTGTGTGTGTGTGTGTGTGTGTGTGTGTGTGTGTGTGTGTGTGTGTGTGTGTGTGTGTGTGTGTGTGTGTGTGTGTGTGTGTGTGTGTGTGTGTGTGTGTTGTGCGGCTTCGGGTGTGCAAATGTGGGCGAGGAATCAGTTCTTGATTCACAAAAGCCGGCGTAAGCGCCACTTTCGTCATTCGTGTACTGTGTGTGCTTGATACATGCATGTACAGGCATCGATTGACTTGTTCACGTTCAGTCATGTTTTTCCATCATGCATTTGCTCATTATGGAGATCGGTTGTCACATGTTTTGAGTAGCTTGAGATGGCGCGCCTCACGACATCAAATAAAATGCAGTGCAGCTGTAATTCTATGTTAGATAGCGTTCTCATGACATTTCTGAAAGCCATCATGTGCGAAAGCTAGTGAGGGGAAATTTAGCTGCAATCGCGCGCAAGAAAGCTGGAATTCTGATACTGACAGGGCTGTGTGACTGCCAGGCGATGTCCCCTGATCAACCGCCTGTCCGGCGGGTGACGTTTCACTGGCCGGCATCTGACCTCCAGTTAGTGCTTCTCCTGACCAGCTATCTGCCCTCCAGGTTGTGCCATTCTAGCCGGCTATCTGTCCATCAGGTTGTGTCTCTCTGACCGACTGTCTGTCCGCCAGGTTGCGTCTCTCTGACCGGCTATCTGTCCATCAGGTTGTGTCTCTCTGACCGACTGTCTGTCCGCCAGGTTGTGTCTCTCTGACCGGCTGTCTGTCCAACAGGTTGTGTCTCTCTGACCGGCTGTCTGTCCGCCAGGTTGTGTCTCTCTGACCGGCTGTCTGTCCGAGAGGTTGTGTCTCTCTGACCGGCTGTCTGTCCGCCAGGTTGTGTCTCTCTGACCTGCTGTCCTTCCTCCAGGCACTGACTCCCGAGGACTACCGCTGCGTGATGGACACAGTGCAGGAGGCGATCCTGTCCACCGATCTTGACCAGTACTTCAGGAACAGAGACCGCTTCGAGCGCGTCGTGCAGGACGGCGAGGTCGAGTGGCACGACGAGGCCAAGAAAAAAAGTGGGTGCCGAGGTGGTGTGACACCCGTTCATGCTCAGTCTGAGGGTTTGGCCCGGCAGACACCAAGCGTCAGTCACCAGCGATGCGTTAAGATGGCCTCAGGGGTGTGGTCTCCTTTTAGTTGCGGGGCAGAAAGTTTCCAGGTTCCTTCCGCCCTCTAACTTGAGCTCCAATATTCTTAACTCTGAGGGGAAGCGAGCTTAGCCTGTTGAGAAAGAGCCGTTTATCGGTGTATTTTGGGGAAAGGTGTCGTCATTTTTCACTGTTCAGCACCCCCTACGCTTGCGTACGTAGGGGGGGGGGTACGTTTGCATCCACGCACTGATGGCGCCGTGTGTGTGTGTGTGTGTGTGTGTGTGTGTGTGTGTGTGTGTGTGTGTGTGTGTGTGTGTGTGTGTGTGTGTGTGTGTGTGTGTGTGTGTGTGTGTGTGTGTGTGTGTGTGTGTGTGTGTGTGTGTGTGTGTGACCGCTGCTGGGCATGTGTTTCAGTTCTCATGGGAATGCTGATGACGGCCTGTGACGTTAGCGCCATCGCCAAGCCGTGGGAGATTCAGCATCGGGTGGCCAAGCAGGTGGCCGACGAGTTCTTCTATCAGGGCGACCTGGAGCGGACCAAGCTGAACGAGCAGCCCAGCGTGAGTCCGGCGCGCGCCTCTCGCCCGGCTGGGGCCGAGGGACACCACCAACGGCAGACTAGCGGGCGCCTCTCGCCCGGCTGGGGCGAGGGACATCACCAGTGTGAGTCCGGCGGGCGCCTCTCGCCCGGCTGGGGCGAGGGACATCACCAGCGTGAGCCCGGCGGGCGTCTCTCGCCCGGCTGGGGCCGAGGGACATCACCAGTGTGAGTCCGGCGGGCGCCTCTCGCCCGGCTGGGGCGAGGGACATCACCAGCGTGAGCCCGGCGGGCGCCTCTCGCCCGGCTGGGGCCGAGGGACATCACCAGCGTGAGTCCGGCGGGCGCCTCTCGCCCGGCTGGGGCCGAGGGACATCACCAGTGTGAGTCCGGCGGACGCCTCTCGCCCGGCTGGGGCGAGGGACATCACCAGCGTGAGCCCGGCGGGCGCCTCTCGCCCGGCTGGGGCCGAGGGACATCACCAGTGTGAGTCCGGCGGACGCCTCTCGCCCGGCTGGGGCCGAGGGACATCACCAGCAGCAGACCAGCTCGGGGTCGCGTCATGGCTTACTCTAGTGGAGTCGGACGTCACGGGAAACCTAAGCCGATCAGCGGCGAGGTAGATGGGCGACAGTGGGCAATTTGTCCACGTTTCTGGGGCTATATTGGTTATTTTTGCGGCGTTTAAGGCAGCGATGAGCTATGCTTACCTTCAGTTGGGTCGCCAGGTGCGATCAGGTTCTGTCAGGTACATTAGTCTGGGTCGTGCTCAGCTATTTTTACGATGCTTCACTTTGCCACCCGACGGGAGACTATTGACGAGCAGGGCAGGCAAAAACCTCCTACCACGCCCAATATCATTCAGCCAGCAAGGACAGTTCGCAGGACAAACTCTCTGTGGCATCATGGGCTGAATGATGCTGCAGTTTGCCAATCGATTTAATGTTTACGTTTGTCTTCTTATCTAATTTTTGTCCCTTTTGTCTGGAGATGGCCTAGCAGACGGCCAGCTTTGTAGGATGAGGGGAGAAGAAAGCGACTGCAGATGGCCTAGCAGACGGCCAGCTCTGTAAGATGAGGGGAGAAGAAGGCGACTGCAGGTCACGCGGTCGCCTTCTTTGTTAAATTACTCTCTTCGCTTTTCACCTTCTTCATAACGTGGTCGCTTTCTGTATTGGCACGGGTCCAGTCACGCTTGATGGCACAGCTTGAACAAAGCACGCGAGCGAGGGCTTCAAGAAGGTGACGTGGCTGGAAGGTGCCTCGCGTTCGCTCCACTCCAATGTTAGCAATTTGCAGCCGGCACATTCGCCTCCAGCGTAGCTGCTTGCTCGTCTGTATTTGCTCTGGCTGTTGAGATCTGACATCAATGTTGAAAAACCTGTTTGGGGCGCGGTCTCACTCGTCATCAAACTTTGCAAGGCTTTGGGCGTGACTGATGAACTGAGGCTGGGCTCTAAATTCTGGATTATGCTTTCCGCGAGTTAAAATGAGCTTAAGTTCTGATTCTCATCTTCAATTTGTTCCTGACCAGTAGGCATCGAAGTGCTGTAAGGAAAGAAGGTTTTGAAGAAGGTGTTGTACGTGAGAAGGTTTTGCATGCACTATCTTAAAATTGTGATGTTGAAAAAAATTGTGGTCATTGAGTTGCCGGGTAATGAACTGATAGCATGCGGGAAGAAAACGCGGAAAATGCGGGAGAGAGTTGGAGGCGTTACAGCGTGACGCGGCAGGCTAGTTTCCCATCAGTCACGGCCGCCTGGCCGTTCAGTCGTGTCTGCCTGAGACTGCGTGCAGTGATGCATGCGAAGCACCGCGGCTCATGCCAACGGCGGCAAATCAGGCCCTCGCTGACAGCCCCTGGAGTCGCCCGAACGCGCCTCAAACACGCTGTGTCGAGACGGACACCACGACATCGTCGCAGCCAATGCGGCGTCATCGAACTTCTCCTGTCTCTTCGAGATGAGTTTACACTGGCTGCTATGGATCACTTCACGACACTTGTAACACGCGATCAACAGGCTGGTGCGACGCCAAGCTGTGTGGAGTTCGAGCAGGGGTGTCCTGAGGCGAGTGAACACCGCCGAGGAAGACCCAAACCACAGCTGACAGCGGTCACAAAACGTTTGCTACCGAAACGCCGGGAGGGAGCTGGTGCACTCTGCTTTCGAATACCTGTTGTCTCTCTGCTTCATAGGTTACCGTTGTTTAACGCACCAGGCTCACAATGGCAGTGCCTGGTGCACAGGGGTACTTATCTTGCCCTCCGTGCGCAATGTGATCTTAAACTACGATGGGAAAGTTGTAAACTGGTACTTGTAATCCTTTTCCAACCGATTCCCAAGGAAAGCAAGACTTGGAAAACGACTGCATGCTGTTGTTTGATTCGTAATCAACCCTAGGGCTGTGTAAAATTTCAAGCCATGATGCTCAACAACCTATTGCTATCACTGAAAATAGCTCTAAATGTAGTATGTAGCATGCACTAAATATGTGCATTTTATGCAGGATTTTTTTAAAGATGCGATTGATCTACAAAAATGCACGAATTTAACACTACGTGGTATCTGAAGATGGCACTGGATGTGGTTAGTCGTCTGATGTGCCGCGTTTATTTGCGTCTGTGCAGCAAGAACACCGCATCGCGTTTATCAAGCCGGGTATGTCTGTTGGGCGCACGCAGGTATGTACATGCACGCATGCGACCGACCTTCCTGACCTGCCCGGTCAGTCAGGAGGTCGAAATCCAATGTACGTACGACGCTTCAGCATCATTGCGCTGTGTGGACGTAGCTGGCACGATCCCAAGGGTGATGAACTGCTCTCTGACAAGGACCTAACGTTACAGGCCATGATGGACCGGGAGCGAAGGGACGAACTGCCCAAAATGCAAATGGAGTTTATCAACTTGATTTGTATACCTCTATACAAGGTACGTGTGCTCGATGAGATGAGCCATCATGCATTCGAAAGTGGGAAGGGTTGGGAGCTCTTGTTCTGAGCATAACCGAACTTCGGTATGCCCAGAGCCACTGGTTAAACGGCATTACCAAGAGAGCGTTCACTTTCTTGACAAAGCTCGACGTTTGGAAGTTGCGCTCGTGACCATGAGCACAGCGTCGAAGTCTCTTGCTTTGCCAATATAACCAATGTTTGGCTGACTAGGGGCCGTCCGTAAATTACGATATTCGTCGAGTGGGAGAAAAGTCCTGTAATGGAGCGGCGTGACGGAAGCGTAACTAGGGAGGGAGGGGACGCTTCCAGCAGCGTAACGGTACCCTCCGGTGAGGGTGGAAATCATGTAAACTTAGGTAAATACAAATCAAGCTCTTAAAGCTGAACACCAGAGACCTCTTAGCATGGCAAGGAACACGTCCGTTGCTTGTTTTACACATCTCTAACCCAGCAAGGGGCCGAGGCGGCGTTCCTTTTTCAGGGGAAGGTGGGTTTAAGCCGGCGTAACCTTAACCAGCGCGTAGCCACAGGGAGACGGCGTTGACATTGACAAAAATATCTACAAGAACACCGGATCTAAAATTCCGTAAAAGCAGGAGTTTAAGGCTTGTACTGTATACACCAAACATGCGTGGAGTTGAGTCGAAAATCACGCTTCCCTTAGGTCAGGTGCCGCACATCTGATGGGAAACCAGTGATATACAGCGGCCATATACAGCGGCGCCCACAGATGCTGCATTTGTCTGCCCGCCCGCACCGTCAGTGACAGTGTAGAAGTGCGGCAATATGACAAACCCTTTGTTTCTGTAAGCTTAGCTCCCAAGATGCTCAAATGAAGTTTGAATTATCATCGGACAAATCGATTGTCTTTGTCGTGGTGGGGCTGGGTTGATGAGGCGCCTGGTTTGTCGTCAAGCGGCTGATGTCGAAAACGGAGCAGCATGTTGTGCTTTTTATGCCACCGGTGCATTTGGGCAGCTGGACTGGGCAGCGCTCGGAGCCTCGGTGGTGCGCTCTGACTGACAGGTGTCGCGCGCCTGTCCCATAAGCGTGACGTATCACTCGGGTCTGAGGCGGCCGCGGAGCTCCGGACGGCACGAGCCGCCAGAGCGGGCCAATCTCGAGCGGCGGCCCGACAGCGCGGCTGGCGATCTCCAGCCATCGATCTCGCGCCCGTCTCGCTCTCCTATGATTTAGATAACACTCCGGGCGCCGCCAAAGCGGGCAGCTCGCTGCGATCGATGGCACATCTCGGTCGGCGCGTAACCATTTCCACGATGCGACTGCAGTGTTTGGGGATGCATGGACTCAATTTTCTTAGGAAGTCAGTATCAGATCATTGCGTACCTGTTCTCCGTAACAGCAAGGTCACATTACATCGAAATATAAGGCATTGTTACCAAGATTGCGATATCATATATGCAAGCTCGCTACTTCTCTTCCTCCAGCTGCGACAGAGCCCGATCGCTGCGGTGATAATCAGACTGTGACAGAGCGCGATCGCTGCGGTGATAATCCTGGCTAAACGACAGATTCTCCCGATGCATTATGTACTTGTAGTGCGCTGCTGTGTGGTATAGTCCCCTGACGCCGTCGGCAGGCGCTCTCCGAGGCGTTCCCCTGGATGCGGCCCATGTACGAGGGCTGCCTGCGGAACCTGCAGCATTGGCAACACCTGGCCGATCAGGTCGACATGGGGCTGACCTGGATCGACCGCGACTCCATCGAAGAACCGGTGGAAACATCTCATGACAGTAGGTGGCCGACCACACGTACGCCGGACGACATACTCTGGGAAGGGCCGAGCCCGCAGTCGGCTGGTGCCTGAGCGCTGGTGCCATGACACAGCGGGGGCTGGTGCCATGACACAGCGGGGGCTGGTGCCATGACACAGCGGGGCTGGTGCCATGACACAGCTGGAGCTGGTGTCATAATCAAAACCTATCTCTCCAGCTGTGTCATGACACCCCGGAGCTGGTGTCATGACACAGCTGGAGATGGTACCATGGCACAGCGGGGGCTGGTGCCATGACACAGGTAGAGCTGGTGTCATGACACAACTGGGGCTGGTGCCATGGCATCAGCGGGTGCTGGTTCCGTGGCACAGCGGGGGCTGGTGCCATGGAATCAGCTGGGGCTGGTGCCGTGGCACGGCGGGGGCTGGTGCCATGACACAGCGGGAGCTGGTGCCATGACATAGCTGGGGCTGATGCCATGGCACGGCGGGGGCTGGTGCCATGGCACAGCGGGGGCTGGTGTCATGACACAGCGGGGGTTGTTGCTGTGACAGCGGAGGGTTGTTTTGCACCCAAAGAGTTTGTACCAGCATAGGCGACTTTGAGCTAAGATGGCACGCCAAGCGGAGCTTGCTGAATGTACTGAACCCAGAAAACAAGTTGCGCCACGACAATCCAGCGGGTTACATTGACTTCGGTTGGCTTGGCCGGAAGGAACGCGGAGGCATGCTTTTGGTACCGTGTAAGACTACGACATTGCCAGTCGCCCCTCTATGGCCACAGCTCGGTTGACATGTTTGCAAAAGTCGGACAAATAAGTCACTTGCCGCGACTCGTGACCGCCTGATGTCAGCCCCGTCGGTGCTCCCTTAAATACCTGCTCGTTTTTTCCACACCAATTCTACTCATTTTGAAGACGCAAAGGAGCACAATGGGATGTGCAGTCCAAGAATGCATCAGTTACCAGCACTGTCTGCTAAAAGAATGCCGGCACGTCTGTATTGCAAAAGGGGTTACGAATGCGGGGTTATTTATTATGTGCGGCGGAGGGATGCCAAAATTTGTCCTACTCCTGATTTACCTGAAATGGTATCATACCTTACAGTTCGCAACGGACAGGTTTTGATTCATCTGCTCACGAGAGAAAAGGATGCCAAATAAACTAAAAGCCGATAAAAGCGGACGGTAGCTATGTCAACTAGCGTTAGTCTGGAAAAGTCCGTGTCCGTCCCCACGGCCGTCGGCTGACCGACTGCATCGCCGATCGACTACAGAACCACTCTCAAATGGAGTGAAGTCTCAGCCGAGCAGTGCCTATTTCTGATGTCATCCATAGAACATGGCCTGTCATCGAGCGCGCCTCTCGCTCAGTTCGGTCTTGGACCATATCCCGCCACGTTATTGCCTGCCAGCCGAGAGCTGCCGCCAACATTCGCGGAAGGAGTCTAGCGCACAGAGACAAGGCCGACGGCAGCACACTCCTCAGGCTTGTCACTTCGGCCGTGTGCCTGGACATCCGGCAAACTTGGCGCTTTATGGGAGTGAGTTGCCAGCGCGTCAGCGTCACTGGTTTGCCCAATTTACTTTGCATTTAATCCGCATTCGGCTAGTCTCCAATCTGATTTCATTTGACTCCATTCCTCAGCAATATTGTCATTATCACAGGGGACCGTAGATGCATTGTCTCACGAACTGTCGAGCGTTTTCCTCTCGCCAGTCATCTAAAGCCTCAGGTATCCGGCGTTGTGTTCGGCATTGCTGGCTCCGTGAGTTTCGGTCGTTGGCCTGACTTGACTCCTAACTGCTTTATGTAAAGTAGCCGTGGCACTGCGTTTGAAAGACCATTATACCGATGCTACTGCTCGGATAGCAAGCGCAGATTTCACCTTACCCGGGGCGGGTAAGGGATGTGTCATTGTGTCATCAATTTTGGGGATGTGCCATCCCCGTGATGTGTCATTCTGAGAGATCCTTCAAGGCGTGTTTTGACTTTTCGTGATGGTGACCGGAAGATGCTTATATTTCTCTTATTATTTGCAAATGCATTTATGTTCAAAACAAACAATGATACCTGGGCTGAGTTTATGACTTCTGTGTACAAAGAACGTAACCCACTTAAGCCTCTGTGTTCGGACATGACTCCAGCCGCATCTCTTGTAATATCCACTTCGGGATTGCGTGCATTCGCACGCAGACGTAGAAACACGGTGCATTAATTGTCTGTTTATCCTCCTTTATCTGTTTCAGTCTCAGTTGATCGCATTACACTTCAAGGCAAGGCCCAGGAGTCACCAAACCATCCAGAAGTCACGAATCAAGGCCTGGATGTCAAGGTAAGGTTCAAATGTGCGGCCTACAGATAGCTAGGCAGAAAGTCTCCCAAGAGGTTTTCCCCTTGCTTTCTGGGTGCACCCCCTGTGCTCGCTTATACGTAAAATTAAACTCATGCGTCGAGCAAGACAAGCTGCATGTCAAAATGAGCGTTGCCTACGGTGGTGAGATTGTAAGGCCGCCACCAGCCGCGCGTACACGGGTTCAGACCAAGCCATCCGTCCGGACCCCGGGTGAAGAGGCGCTGTCACCTTGCGGACCATGCCATCCGTCCGGACCCCGGGTGAAGAGGCGCTGTCACCTTGCGGACCACGCCATCCGTCCGGACCCCGGGTGAAGAGGCGCTGTCACCTTGCGGCCGTTTTGCGACAAATGTCTCCGCTAATCACTTCGGAGAAAGAAGCTCAAATTTGTAGCAGCATAGTTTCAAAATCATTAGTTAACGAGGGTTGTTTCAAACCACTGCACGTGGCTCATTCATGAACGTTGCACGTGGATGCGCCTAGGAGCAAGCCGCAGTGACGAAAATGGCATACCAGTGCGTCCGTGTGCCGGGGTCAGGCCACAGCTGAGCTCTGTTCTGAAATAGGCGACTACGGTGCGTGAGATCAATGTCCAGCGCTTGAGAGAGCGCGATATGTGTTGATGCCGGCGTACCACCGTTTGCTTTTTCGCTGGTCTTCGATTGCCTGTTTATTTCCGTAACTGGACCGTATCGTGTCAACTATGAGCATTCCTGATTCTGAGCAAGCCAATTACGTCGATGGTGTGGGTGTTGCATTCAATGTGCGTAATGCATGTAAAATAGAGACACTAGGATAGAGACAATAGACACACACACACACACACACACACACACACTAAAATAGAGACGCATTTTCTGCACTAATAAAGTGCAGAAAATGAGTCTGGTCAGTTATGAGTCACCCATTACCAAACCAAAACTTTTATAACGCCCTTTTCGCTGTAATGAAGCATTTGCAACATTACACGGAAAGCGCTCGTGGAGTAAAATTGACGTCTAGCTCTTGCAACGAAACAGGCGATTGTGTTTTATTTTAGGGAGCCGATGTGATAACTGGTGTTCAGTAAACGGGCCTCTGACTCTGGACTGACAGGACTGACCTCTTGGAATTAACTTAGGACTTAGGACATCATGACACCAACGACCTTGAATTATACCATATGAACTATCTGAGATGTCTCTAAGCCGAGGAAATGTGCAAAAACAGCCGAACATGTGGTTGGATTTCAGGAAAAGCGCTCGTAGAACACATTTGGTTCTATATGATTATTTTCGAATTGAAGTTGAGGCATTGGGGATGGACTTTTCTGAATTTTTTGGCTTGGGCATGCACAGAATGACACAAAAGTAGTGCTAACTAGGCACTATTTGTCGGTGCCCCCCGTTTGTTCGATTCAGGATTAACTCAGTATCGACAAAACTGGCCTCTGTAAACGTCATTCTTTGGAAGAAGATATGCTCGGCTTATCAATGCAAGATTGCACATAACTGCTGTGGACCTGAAATTTTAGATGAAAAAGAACAGACAGTAAAATCCTGAAATGTGTTGGCCTACCCAGCTGCTTATTGTGTGAGGCACGGTACTAATTCTTGAGGCACCTATGCCCAACATATTGTCTATGCGCCGCGCCGGTGTCCGAAAATATGAATGCTCACACATGCGCATTTAGTGCGAACATTTTTAACGAACTTCCTGAGCTTAAAAACATCCCAAATGGCAGGTTTGGAATAATCTTAGGTATCCTGATGAACCACACAAAGCCCTTAGTATATCATTCAAAAATATAGTTGCTCGGATATCTCCATTACAGCTATATCTCAAACATCGAACCTTGCTTGTGCATGAGAAATTACATAGTTCTATAACGTGCTAAGGAGAATGTCATGCGCATTCCACCAGTTGTCGGTAAATACACCAGAAGTGTAATCGAACAGCTGTCCCCTTGCAGCCGGGCAGTTGCCTCCTTTTGTTCGGTTGGGCGGCTGCGGCCTGTTTGGCCCGCCCCCCCCCCCTTTGTTCAGTTGGGCGGCTGCCGCCTGTTTGGCTTGGTTTTCAGCCTGACGGCGGACCTTTTCTGCAGCGCTCGGTGGTGAATACAAAATTACTCTATTTTTCCAGAAAGGTGTTGGTTTCCACCAGCCAGTCTTAGTGGCTTGGCTCACATTTGGGCCCTGGGGACACTTTGTCGTTGTCGATGTTGGTGATATTCATGATCTTAATTTGGGTAATATCAAGGAGGTTGTCGGTGCCGCTCCTAAACTCCTGCTTCTTCATTGGCTGGGCGGATCTCCTGCGCTTGTTTCGAGGACAGCTCTGTGGTTTTCAAGCTGTCTTTCTGGACTCGTTATTACGCTTTGCTCCGGCGTGATGCGAATGCGGGTTTTGTTCCACATCCTCATTAGCTTGACTCCAAACCGTATTTTCGTCTCTTGATCAGCGTATCCGCTCGCTGAGGCTGAAAATATCGCTGCAGCACTCTCTCCAAGTAGGCAGCTTGTTTTCTCGCACTAACTCGACTGGAGCACCGAGGAGAAAAATTACGGCTTTTTGCGGTGCACGCTATACTGCGTCATGATGCGATGATGATAATTGAGTCGGGGGCACGCTCGACATCAGCGGTCATTCGACGCCCATAACAAAAGTGTTTCCTCCCTAGCCGAACTGCATATGGCTAAAAAAACATAGCTCTCAGGAAAGCAAATGGTTTGTCCGTGTCAGGTGTCGTCTCGTGGAACGTCGCGACATCGAAGAGCTGAAGCGCGCCTTCCAAAATGGCGCAGACTCTCGTTGAAATGCGGTCACGAGCTGATTACGTGACGTACGGTTAGTGGAGCACCACAGCGAGAACACGGGTGCCGCTGCTTGCCACACGGGTGTGCCCGTGAGACGCACGGGTGTGACCAATGCGCAGTCCACTAAGCATGATTTTTCCTAGCCGAGCCCGCCGAAAGTAGGGCTGCCAGTGTTCCGACTCCTGTGTGACGTTAAAACGAGCTGTTATGACGGAGTGGCGAAGATGCTCTCAAACAAGCATCCCACTCCGTCATACGTGAACACGTGTCCTTCAGAACATACCCTGCGCTCCAGGGATGTGGACCGGCCTCACTGAGGACATTCATCACATGTCTTGACCCGAGCCAGCGAAATGTCAGCATTTGGCGAGGTCCAGTGCCAGGACGGAACTGGTGGATGTCGCAATTGCATCACATCTTGCAGATCATTGTCCTCATAATCAGATCACATTCTCATCACACCTTGGATATCTTTGTACTAAAAAGGAATATCCGTACGCACACAGAAGGGTGCGGAGCGCTGTCTTCTTGCTCCGCGAGGCAAAGCCGTATTGTCGCGTGAAAATGCCGCCCATAAGTCGGATGTTGGGGGGGGGGGGAGGGGAATGGCGCGGCCTACTCGCCATCCACTTGCCAGTTACCTGGTGCCGTGCAGACAGCGGCTGTTCGAGTGCCTCTTCGAGAAGAATGACTGTCACTTGCGTCCGAAACGCTCCACCATATTGTGTCAAGGCTGCCGCTAGAAAGAGGGCGTGCAAAAAGTGTATGCCTTAACGCAGCCGCCGTGGGCGGTCTATAAACACTCGACCGTCTTAGCGCACTATAAACACTCGACCGTCTTAGCGCACTATAAACACTCGACCGTCTTAGCGCACTATAAACACTCGACCGTCTTTGCGCACTATAAACACTCGACCGTCTTAGCGCACTCCGGAAATTAAGAGAGTGACAAAAAGCGCAATGAGCAGCCAGCCAATGAGGACACAACGGTTCTCATGCGTCGCAGGCGGCGGCTGATGCGGCGCATCCAGAACTGGCCCGAGGGAGTGTGAGTGAGGAGTGGACCATCCCGACGGGGTGGGGGTGCGGGGTAGGCAGTGGGCTAACCCGAGGGAGCGTGAGTGGGGAGTGGACCATCCCGACGGGGTGGGGGGGGGGGGGGTGAGGGTGCGGGGTGGGCAGTGGGCTGGCTCGAGGGAGTGTGAGTGGGGGGTGGACCATCCCGACGGGGTGAGGTGCGGGGTGGGCAGTGGGTTAACCCGAGGGAGTGTGAGTGGGGGGTGGACCATCCCGACGGGGTGGGGGGGGGGGGGTGAGGGTGCGGGGTGGGCAGTGGGCTGGCCCGAGGGAGTGTGAGTGGGGAGTGGACCATCCCGACGGGGTGGGGGGGGGGGGGTGAGGGTGCGGGGTGGGCAGTGGGCTGGCCCGGGGGAGTGTGAGTGGGGGGTGGACCATCCCGACGGGGTGGGGGGGGGGGGTGAGGGTGCGGGGTGGGCAGTGGGCTGGCCCGGGGGAGTGTGAGTGGGGGTGGACCATCCCGACGAGGTGGGGGGGGGGGGGGGGTGGGGGGGGGGTGAGGGTGCGGGGTGGGCAGTGGGCTGGCCCGGGGGAGTGTGAGTGGGGGGTGGACCATCCCGACGGGGTGGGGGGGGGGGGGTGAGGGTGCGGGGTGGGCAGTGGGCTGGCCCGGGGGAGTGTGAGTGGGGGGTGGACCATCCCGACGGGGTGGAGGTGCGGGGTGGGCAGCGGTCTGGCCCGAGCGCCAGAGGCTATTCCTGACAATAACTGATATCGTTGGTTCGGTATTGAGAGAAGGATGACATGATTGGGCGCAATATTCACCTTCCAGATAAGCAAAACACTTTCTCGCCACAGATGTCAGCATGCATGTCATTCAGCTCAAGGCCTTAAAAACGATACATGCATCTCACTCTGGTCATGTGACGGGATGAGGTTTGCTTTTAGGGGCGCTTCGACCGCAATGGTCATTTTGCGCTGGAGCCATTTGACGTAGTAAACGTCGGTAAGCCTACGAACGTTTTGCAAAAAAAGTTGTTCAACCTATCCTACATGCACATGCCAAAACACCTTTGAAAGCTCACAAAGGCGTTGGGCTACGTTTATGGGCTACCATAACGGGCATATCGTTGAGATGAGCAGTATTGCTATTGCCACCTCGCGACAAATATCTCCGGTAAGCAAAAATTCCGTCATATCACAGTGCCAACTATAGACAGAGAGACATCCTTTTTTCATAAACACACGTGCATTTCTTGATGTCAAAATTATCAGCAAAGGAATATTTTCCAAACCCTTGCAAAGGGCCTAGGAGCGCCGTTTTTCAACGTTTACAAACGCTTTATATTCGCCATGGAGTCAATTGCGTCCGATTAAATGGAATGACAATTTGTTTTATGCTGAGATGCTACTGCAGTTTTCAACTAACACCGGAATGTATTGTCATATATGGCTGTACAGCGTGATCGGTGACGCCTCAGGCCGGGTGACGCGCCGCCGCTGTTGCAGAGAATGCACTGGAGCAGCGGCCAACTGGCGTCGCCGACACTCTCCAGCATCGGCCGCCCCAGGGACGACGCCGAGGTCGGCAGAGACGCTGCCCTCGGCCGCCGCTGCTCAGAGCCGGTCGGCGTGGGGCCGGCGGTGGCACCCCCGACCCGCGCGCGACGCTTCGGTCGCAGCATCCGGCGCTACGACCGCGAGACCAGGCTCTGCGCCATCTCGTGAGCGCGGCATGAAGCTCGCGGCCGGCGGCCGAGCCTTTCGGCCACGCCGAGGAGTCGTGTCTCGTCATGGAATGCCGTCGAAGCTCTCCGAGCCGGATGGAGGACAGGACTCGGGCAGGTGTGAATGACGAGAGCTGTCCGCCAACTATATGGACTTTTGGTATATGTGCTGGAGGGGGACAAGGACAGCTTCGCCTACCGGCTATATGTGCTGTACACCGCGTATGTTTCTTCCCACGCGTACTTCTCGTGAAGTCAACGAAGACATTCGAACACACCGTCTGTTCGGAGAACGCCCTCCGCCGCTTGGAAACGTGCTGCATGACAAGTCTAGCCATGCATTCTATTCTTTAGAGGACGTCACTCAATGTCAGATCAAACGGAAGCTTATAAGCTCCTCATGGCATAGGTTGTTTTTGTTGCTTTAATACGGAGTAGCTCGCCGTTATGGTTGCTGGAGAGAAGAGTGCCGGTAGCGTAGCGGTTAGGCTGCGTGTCTCAGAGAACAGGGACACGCGGTTCGATCCCCCGCAGTGCCCGGCCCTCACACATTATCAGGGCGAGCGGCGGGCGACGCCATGTAGCCTCTGCAGCTGAGTGCACCGCACAGGTGGTGGCCGCTGGCGGAGTACAGGTGGTGGCCGCTGGCGGAGTACAGGTGGTGGCCGCTGGAGGATCCCTACGACCGCGCCCGCTCAGTCGGCACTAGTTATGGCACGTTGTCGAGACACGCCACACCACAGAGAGACCGTCAGCGCACGAGAGGCACGGACTCGCCACGCCATGCCTCACCAAGCAATCATCCATTCAGGTTTGGGTCAACGTACTTTCCTTTTTCAAAGTAACTGCATGTAATTTAAATGCACTTCATTTGCACACAAAGCTGACAAATCAACGCCAACGCTAACAGATGTCAATGCTTTTAGCTAGTCCGCAATCAGCTGGATAGCGGCATTCCTCGCCTGCTGCGGACCACCAACACGCTCCACTGCCCCGATGCGCACAGACGGCTGGGGCGTTCCCATTGTCATGTCACGGGGAGAGGAAACATTGTACGGCGCGATGCCCCCAACAATCGCATCGCCAGCCGCGCAAGTCTTACCTGCGCACAAACCGATAATTTGGCAGCCACCCCCTCCATTTGGGGATCAAAGAAACTAGTCACAGAGCGAAAACCCGTAGACAGCACTACTGGCCAGTGGCCACCTACGTGGCCACTGGAATTTGCGTCCATACATGTTACCTGGAAGGCTGCGAGTGAAAGAACCTCCCGGGAACCGGTCGTTAAATGTGTTATCTGTGTGAGTTTCTCCGTGCCTGTAACCACCTTGTCAAAGTCATGCGCCGTCTCGGGATCAGCGCAGCCACATCCGGCCAATGCCGCGAGTGCAGGCGTCGCTTGACACACGACCCACCGCGTCGGACGTCGTTATGTACATGTTGAACCTGATAGCCACAATACACGTCTATTCATCTAAGCCGTGTATGCCCTTAGAGCCATCAAATGCCGTAGGTTGACTGCACGGAAGCGCCCCGTAACTGCACAACTCCTGCAGACGCATAACGTTTGCACGACTGTATCACATCATTTACAGTCATTGATCGCGCAAACATCTCGATGCGGAAAATGCTCATAGATTTTCACGGTTCTGTCCCTGTTCTGTTGAAGGATACGACTCACCACTCTTACCTTTACTGGTTCCTATTGTGCTTTAAACATGTTGCACTTGTCTGCGGGTCATGCATGCTGTACTGCTGTCACATGCCCTATTTTGCATTTAAAGCTGTTTTAGTTTTCTGTTCTGAGGCTCGGTCCCTTTCTCCAGACATAAATCTAACGTGACTTGCCACGAGCCGAGCCCCGCACTGTACTGAGACGATCCCAGAACTGTCTGGGGAGCATGTCAGGGTAGGCCTCACGAACTGTTTCAGGGGAATGTGCCAATCACGGCTGTTTGAGTGTACCTGGCCGGCCTCGTGACAATGACTTTGAGAAAGGACGCCGCGCACGTCGCCGCGCACCTTTATGGAGCACCAGCGACTGCGACCGCAGTGACGATGTTGGCGCTCTTGGGCCATGGCGCAACGCACCCCCCCCCCCCCCCCTCCCTCCTCACACGGGGACCGAAGACGCCGACACCTCGGCTATTACGCCCCCTCAAGCAACTTAAGACACGCGATCTGTTGCATCAAGACTGATCACAACTGGGTGTCGTGTGATGCATGTGAACTGTCGGGGACCCAGGAACAGCTGGGGAGGGGTCCGATCGCTTCTTTGTCCACATGGACCAAATCAATTACAGTTAAAATATGATTTTGCCAAATAGAGGTTATCGAATGCTTCCAATAATGCAAAGCACGCATGTAAACATACTTGGGCTAAGACCCTGTTTTTTATACGCTTGCGGTTAACTCGCGACCATAAGCAGGGGCACTGCTGGAGAGATCTAATTACTGTTGGCTAGCATCTGCTGGTATTTGGAAGGTCAGATAATTCCGGCATAGTACGAAGTGTCCGAAATGCTATCTCGGCGGAAGCGTAACGGACAGGCCAAGCCGCTCACAATGAGATTCGCCCAACTGTTGAAGCAAGTAGAAGTCTCCATGGGTTAAATTTCCGTTACTTAATGCACCCGCTACCCACTCACTGGCCTGTGTCCGTAGTAACATGCACCCATCCCTTATCAGTTTTACGCACATTTTCCCTTCCACTTTTGCATTTTCCAGGACTTTCGTTTCAACTCATGACAAAGTTTTAAGAAAGTTTGCGGCCAGGCTTGTTGTTTCGCGTTGGTAATTGCAAGTGTTGTGGATTGGGCTAATTGCAACCAAACAAGGACCAGCAGTACTTCTACCAGAATCTACCACACATTTTATAAACGTATTAGCCACGCCCGCAAATTTCACAAGATTGGTGCGCAACAAAATGCGTGCCCCATTCCGTACGAGTACTGCTGGATCTCCCAGCCGGTATGATAGGTGGGCCGGACAGCAGGCCGGGCAGGCAAGACTCGCCCGGCCTGCTGTCCGGCTCGTGATCACGTTATGAATTCCAGCGGAACTGTCGATGAACTATCAAAAGTGAGACACGTTGGGTTACACCGTGTTCCATCGATGGCAGCGTTCTGCGATCTGCGGATTCCGGCGATCCAATTCCACAGATCCCCGCTGACCGCGACGTCAGTTCTACTTTGACTCCGGCCATTAGGGCGCGCCAGCCGCCAGGCTGCGGCGGCAGGTCCGCGATGGCCCGGCCGCCAGACGGCGGCGTCAGATGGCCCGGCCACCGGACGGCGGCGGCAGATGGCCCGGCCACCAGACGGCGGCGGCAGCTGGCCGGGCCGCGGCCACCAGACTGCGGCGTCAGATGGCCCGGCCACCAGACGGCGGCGGCAGCTGGCCGGGCCGCGGCCACCAGACTGCGGCGGCAGATGGCCCGGCCGCCAGACCGCGGCGTCAGATGGCCCGGCCGCCAGACCGCGGCGTCAGATGGCCCGGCCACCAGACTGCGGCGGCAGATGGCCCGGCCACCAGACTGCGGCGTCAGATGGCCGGGCCGCCAGACGGCGGCGGCAGATGGCCCGGCCGCGGCCACCAGACTGCGGCGGCAGATGGCCCGGCCGCCAGACTACGGCGGCAGATGGCCCGGGCGCCAGAGTGCGGCGGCAGACCTGAGATGGCTCTGGCCGCCAGGGTGCGCCAGCTGAGACATGACATCGACCGTCCCGACTTCGTGACCACCGCCGGCCGTTAATTCAATTCCAGAATCTGTCGCACATCTCGGATGACGTAACATCGTAACTGTCCAGATTTCAGCCGACTCGATCAGCTTTATGGCGGCTCTGAGTCGTTAGCATGCTTTAGCGCGACGCTCCAGGAAGACGAGTGTGGACCATATACATCCCAAAATAGGTGGGAGTGTATCGAGCAGCGCACCTCGACGGCGCTGCCGCCCCTCAGTCAACCTGCTGGGCCAGCGGAGTCCTGGCTGCCGCGACCATGTCACGCTCGCCTGGCGTCGCCTCCCCGACACGTCTCTGTCGGCTGGCGTCGCCTTCCCGACACGTCCCTGTCGGCTGGCGCCGCCTCCCCAACACGTCTCTGTCGGCTAGCGTCGTCTCCTCGACATGTCCCCGTCGGCTGGCGCCGCCTCCCCAACACGTCCCTGTTGGCTAGCGTCGTCTCCTCGACATGTCCCCGTCGGCTGGCGTCGCCTCCCCGACACGTCCCTGTCGGCTAGTGTCGCCTCTCAGACACGAGCCGCCGAACTGGCAGCGCGGATCCACTGTCCGGGCCTAAATACCACGGCTCCGGGGTGCAGGGCATGCGGCGCACACTGCGGCTGACACACATGGTGATCCGTGTATTGACCTACTCAAGAGCGGCAAACCCAACGATTTCCTACTATACGGCCAAACGGTCGGCCGTAACGACAATTGAGCAGTCTCGAGGGCAAACTGAGGAACACAAAGAAACGATTCTCGAGGCTCTACATCTCAATCACAACACGGAGCCTGCATTCTATGTCACCAAATGTCTCAGCACACAACCGGAAAGCGCCACAGGCCGGGCCGCTTCATTGCCACGCCGCGCGCCCGCATCAGAACAAATATAACGGAATATGGGCACGGGGAGGGCCAGTCGTCCGGAGGAACGCTTCGATCTCGCCCTCACGGTCAGATCTGAGCTGGTGTCACATCGACAGCCGCCATCCTCGAGCAGTCGGGACCAGCATGACCGGCTGTGAGCCGGCGGGGCGCACTACGCTGGCGGCTTGGCCGGCGTCTGTTGCGTATCACACTGCTGAAAATACGACCACCAGTCGCGAGCGCAGTCGGCCAATGCGGCGACAGTGCGATTTCACGCAATACTGACGCTGGAACACGCGTGAGTGTCGCGGCGACCGCGACAGCGAATCGATCATATTTACCGAGCATACGGAGCTGTAAGAGCCTGCGGCCATCGCCAACACACGCAGAAATTCGGTAAGAAACGAGTAATAGTGCCCATCGCCACCACTGGCCCAATGCTTGACCCGCTGTTGCACCATTCGCGCAGAGAAAACGTGAGCCGCCACAGCCGCTGATGACATTGTTCCAAACAAGGCATCGCCAGTAAGTCCGGTTCAAGTACGAGATTTTGCGATCTTTCGGTCATGCGCCTGGTTTACGACGGTTATACGTCGTGTTTTACGCGCTTCCACACCCGTTCTTGAAACCTCGGACAAACATCGATGTCTTAGCAGCGGTCCTGTGCTAGCAGAGGCCTGGCTGCAGCGGAGGACAGACGACTGGGACATGTCAGCCGGTGCCATGCAGCGCTGCCGGTGCTGTGCCCACCGCACGGCACGCTCGGACACACCGCTCCCACCGAGCGGACGAGTATTGTTCGGCGCGCAGGGTCCCCGAATGAGTCACAGCCCATGGAGCGAAGAACGAAACGAGAAGGAACGAGCCGCCGGGTGCCGACGCTGCGGGGCGGTGGCGAACCGGAGCACATCGGGTCGAACTGGACTGAACCGGACCGGGCTGCATCGGACCAGACCAGACCAACCAGACCGGACCGGACCAGAGAACAGACCGGACCGGACCGGACCAGACCAGACCAGACCAGACCAGACCAGACCAGATCAAGCCGGAGCGCAATCACCGATCCTCACTGGCCGCCCTCTGCGGCGCCAGAAGCAGGGCCAACATGTTGTGCGGGTCGACGATCGTCTTCAGTGAGGTACCTGCCGACCACAGTCGTGTCAGATGAACGCACACCCATGGCGCCTGTTCATCGCTGGTACGACCGAATATGGCCCCAGACGTTGGCATGACAACGCGCGGGAAAGCGGACATCTTCTGCTTAGCTTTTTTGGCTCACAATGGCATATATTCGACAAAAGTGGCCCACCATCAGCAAATTGGTTCCAATGCCTTTTGAAGCCGAAGTACAATTCAACTACCTATTGGACACTACAAATACTAACGAGACGATGAGCCGGCGGTCCGCCTCATCGTCGCCACACGGCATTCACAGTCACTGCCGCTGAACAGCCATACGTCAATGGAGGCGAAGGCAATTAGTGAAGGATCAATAGTTGACTTCATATCTCACCAGCACCATCTAAGACCTCATCAGTCTCCACCAGTCCAAGGCGTCAGGCTGGCAAAGCCCACCACACGGCAGTCACACTCTGAATCCGGGCCGAGGCAGGGAACACATCGCCATACACAGGGGATGCCATTCCAGCCACAGCAACGCCTGCACTGCATCCGGGGTCCCGCACAGCAAGTCACGGACACTGCTCTCATGCTAAAGCCCTACAGTGAAGTGTACCACAGCTTGTAGCGCACGCACCAGAATTTGGATACAGATAACACGCCGTGCCACACTGGAAAACTATCACACTAGGAAACCACACTACCGTCATCCCCTACTCACACCACTCAATAAAGCCCACTTCCCTCCATTGCACTACCATCCCCACCTCCCAACGCCATTCAGTTAAAGCCCACTTCCCTCCATTGCACTACCATCACCCACTCCTCACATCACTCAATCAAAGCCCACTTCCCTCCATTGCACCACCATCACCACCTTCTTACATTACTCAATCAAAGCTCACTTCCCTCCATTGCATTACCATCACCCACTCCTCACATCACTCAATCGAAGCCCACTTCCCTCCATTGCACCACCATCACCACCTTCTTACATTACTCAATCAAAGCTCACTTCCCTCCATGGCACTACCATCACCACCTGCTCACATCACTCAATTAAGGCTCACTTCCCTCCATTCTTAAGCTATCAGCTTAAGCCTCTAGTACCCCCTCCCCCACCCTACCCCCACCATAGCTGGAGCCCCTCTAGTACCCCTCCCCCACCCCATCCCTCACCATAGCTGGAGCCCCTCTAGTACCCCTCCCCCACCCCGCCCCTCACCATAGCTGGAGCCCCTCTAAAACCCCTCCCCCGCCACACCCCTCACCACAGCTGGAGCCTCTCTGGTACCTGACCGCAGCCTAGTGTTCGCAGTGGTGGGGGCAGCGCCCGGCGTTCGCTCACCGGTGAGGGCCGGCTGGTTGGTCATAACCCTGACGGTGTTATAGGCGGTCTGCGGCAGCGGGCTGGGGTGCCGCAGAGCGGTGGCCAGCAGGCGGGCCGGCTGCCAGCGCGGCCCGCCGCCGGCCGGCTGCAGGTCCCGGGCGTCCGTCACCTCCGTCAGCCGGTCCGAGGTCAGCATGCTGTACTGACCCGTCTCCATGTTCCAGGAGAAGGTGAACGAGGCCCGGTACTGGTACCGGTGCACCGAGCTCAGCGGCCGCCTGTCGTCCGCACGGCCGGGGTCAGCGTCGGGCACGGCCGGGGTCAGCGTCGAACACGGCCGGGGTCAGCGTCGGGCACAGCCGGGGTCAGCGTCAAACACGGTCGAGGTCAGCGTCGAACACGGCCGGGGTCAGCGTCGGGCACAGACGGGGTCAGCGTCAGGCACAGCCGGGGTCAGCGTCGAACACGGCCGAGGTCAGCGTCGAACACGGCCGGGGTCAGCGTCAGGCACAGCCGGGGTCAGCGTCAGGCACAGCCGGGGTCAGCGTCGAACACGGCCGAGGTCAGCGTCGAACACGGCCGGGGTCAGCATCAGGCACAGCCGGGGTCAGCGTCAGGCACAGCCGGGGTCAGCGTCGAACACGGCCGGGGTCAGCGTCGAACACGGCCGGGGTCAGCGTCGAACACAGCCGAGGTCAGCGTCGAGCACGGCCGGGGTCAGCGTCGAGCACGGCCGGGGTCAGCGTCGAACACGGCCGGGGTCAGCGTCAGGCACAGCTGGGGTCAGCATCGAACGCGGCCGGGGTCAGCGTCGAGCACGGCCGGGGTCAGCGTCGGGCACAGCCGGGGTCAGCGTCAGGCACAGCCGGGGTCAGCGTCGAACGCGGCCGGGGTCAGCGTCGAGCACGGCCGGGGTCAGCGTCGAACACGGCCGGGGTCAGCGTCGAGCACAGCCGGGGTCAGCGTCGAACACGGCCGGGGTCAGCATCGAACACGGCCGGGGTCAGCGTCGAACACAGCCGGGGTCAGCGTCGAGCACGGCCGGGGTCAGCGTCGAACACGGCCGGGGTCAGCGTCGAACACGGCCGGGGTCAGCGTCAGGCACAGCCGGGGTCAGCGTCGAACACGGCCGGGGTCAGCGCAAGGAACGGCCACCCTCCCACATAACACTACTCATATGCAGCCGCGGAACCACGGGAACTATGCACAGCTGGCATACGGATGGGCCCGTCGGGTCCAATTGGGTGGCTTAGAAAGATTTACACGAGACGCGAGACAGCGGTCGTTCCCTGAAGTTAGCCTGTGGGTATGCTGTCGACTTTAATCATCATCTATCATTGGCTGAACATGAATAGCAAGACAGAAGCGAGCGCAGGTGAACACCACCACGGCGTGGCCGACATAACAGACTGTAGTCCGCACAACGAGCTCAGACTTATGAACTATGCCACCACACACACACGCAGCACGCGTCCCGAGGATCCCTCGCTTTTACACCGTACGACGCAAAACCTACGCCACGTTAGTCCCAAAGCCCAGCGGAGACGTGTCCATCAACCGAGCCGTAGCGTACGGCTGAAGCTGCGGACTGGCAGCCGTCAAACCGAGTACCATCGGCAGTATTACCTATATTGCACGAAATAAAAAAGTGTAATTTATTATGCGTACCCCTGCGAACGAGCCACGTCCAATAATTTCCAGTCATAGATCGACATTGTAATAAATAATCGGCTGGAAATTTTGCGTAATCACAGCTAGTGGTTCGCAGTTGTTCTCATACAAGGACAGCGAACTTCGACGCCATAATCGTCATCAGATGAGCGCTGCTGGACCAAAAAGACTGCGCGCTTACGGCGGAGATACCGGGTGCCAGCACCGATAACCTTGGTCATTCGAGCAGCGCCACAATATTCGGCATCTTGGGTGGCAGGGATGTCGGTAGTTTTATGCTACGCCAATCTCGCTCGAGGCTCGTCGCCTATCACTCTTTCTCTTGCTTAAATCGACCAATCAGCATGCAGCGAGAGGCGGTCAACCCAGCATCTGGGCGCCTCGGGCTGTGCAGATCGTCCAGGCAGGTCAGATGTCAGGGATGGGGTTCAAACGGCAATCGATTGTCACTCACCGAAATGTGCGTGGGGGGCTGCCGGACAGCAAGTCTGGTAACACCAATCTATATTTACATGCCGCGCACCCTAATGGATAAATTTTGATATGCCCTATTCCGGTATAGTTCAACCACACCTCTAAGCGCTGGAAATTTGTCGAAACCAGCGCCAGGTGTTATTGCATGATTGGCGCCCTTAGCATGCTTGACTACTGCAAAATCAGTTGTTCACGGGACAGTCATATTGTTTGCCGACTTTTGGCACACAATGCCACAGGATCACCAATAGCTTTCAGAAACGAAAAGAAGCTTGACACGCGCTAAATGGCTGGGCCATGCAAATGACAGCTGCCCGACAGCCAGCCCGTCGAGGATAAGCCCTGCTCAGGCCTCGTCGCCCCGCCAGAGTCCCCGCAGCAGGCGCCATCCTCTCACCTGGTGGCGTTGGAGAGGCCCTTCATCTTGACGGCGGCCTGCACCAGCACCACGGCCACGGCCACCACGTCACCTGAGTCCGGATTCACCTGACGGCAGGCCGGACACCGCTGCAGCCGGGGCGGCGCTCACATCGACGGACGGTGTCGAGAGCACCCGGTCACGTGTCCCGCGCAGCCCCGCCAGCCAGGTCACGTGTCGAGCACAGCCTCGCCAGTCAGGTCACGTGTCGAGCGCAGCCTCGCCCGTCAGGTCACGTGTCGAGCGCAGCCTCGCCAGTCAGGTCACGTGTCGAGCGCAGCCTCGCCAGTCCAGTCACGTGTCGAGCACAGCCTCGCCAGTCAAATCACGTGTCGAGCGCAGCCTCGCCAGTCAGGTCACGTGTCGAGCACAGCCTCGCCAGTCAAGTCACGTGTCGACTAGCGCCTGCCACGCTCGTAAGCCAGTGGCTGCCGCATTCGTAAACCCACGCGACTAGATCTCCGGGCTTGGTGCATGTGAATCACTGTACGTCCAGGTATTCCGCTGTCACTTAACTTTCACTATCAACGTGCTGAGAGCACAGCAGCTGACTGTCACCACTCACCTCCACCACCTCGACGTCATAGTCGTTACAGAACCAGTACTTCTTGCCGGCCTCTGCGCACAGTCGCTGCGATATCTCGTGGCAAAACTGCTCGACGTCCAGGCTGAGCTGGCTGACCAGCACACAGGGCAGCACCTGGAGCGGCATCAGGACGGCAGAGTGCCGGGCCGGGTCAGCCGGGGCCGAGGGGCGGGCCCGGTCAGCCGGGGCCGAGGAGCGGGCCGGGTCAGCCGGGGCCACGGAGCGGGCCGGGTCAGCTGGGGCGAGGAGCGGGCCGGGTCAGCCGGGGCCGAGGAGCGGGCCGGGTCAGCCGGGGCCGAGGGGCGGGCCCGGTCAGCCGGGGCCGAGGAGCGGGCCGGGTCAGCCGGGACCAAGGAGCGGGCCGGGTCAGCTGGGGCGAGGAGCGGGCCGGGTCAGCCGGGGCCGAGGAGCGGGCCCGGTCAGCCGGGGCCGAGGAGCGGGCCCGGTCAGCCGGGGCCGAGGAGCGGGCCCGGTCAGCCGGGGCCGAGGAGCGGGCCGGGTCAGCTGGGGCGAGGAGCGGGCCGGGTCAGCTGGGGCGAGGAGCGGGCCGGATCAGCCGGGGCCGAGGAGCGGGCCGGGTCAGCTGGGGCGAGGAGCGGGCCGGGTCAGCCGGGGCCGAGGAGCGGGCCCGGTCAGCCGGGGCCGAGGAGCGGGCCGGGTCAGCCGGGGCCGAGGAGCGGGCCGGGTCAGCCGGGGCTGAGGAGCGCACCAGCGCTAACAGTAGCACCGCGCCACACGCATATTCGCTGGCCGCTCAACAGTGAGGCGACTTAGACACCAGAGGCAAATAACGGGCGAAACTCCCCTCACGCGTTTCAGCATCCACTTGGCATCTCGCCGCCGGCAATGGGCGGCGGCCATCCCCTGCCAGCCAGCCCGCTGACGAACTCCTGGCAGACGATGCGCCCAAGCGGCTTCTCGTCGGCTATCGTTTCAAGAGGCCACAGAGCGGCCGGCCAGTCCGAGGATCGGGGCGTGGCTCTCACCAGCTTCTCCGCCTTCGAATGGGTGACCATGTGCATCTGGGAGTATCCGGAGCCGTGCACCTCCAGCGGCAAGGCGTAGTGGTACCCCGTGGACCGGCTCAGGTCGTCCTCTGTACAGCACAGCAGCACAGCGTACAGTCACAACACTCGGTCGAGCTCGTCCTCTGTACAGCACAGCAACACAGCGGACAGGCACGACACTCGGCGGAGCTCGTCTTCTGTACAGCACAGCAACACAGCGGACAGGCACAACACTCGGCCGAGCTCGCCCTCTGTACAGCACAGCAACACAGCGGACAGGCACAACACTCGGCCGAGCTCATCCTCTGTACAGCACAGCAACACAGCGGACAGGCAAACACTCGGCCGAGCTCGTCTTCTGTACAGCACAGCAACACAGCGGACAGACACAACACTCGGCCGAGCTCGTCCTCTGTACAGCACAGCAACACAGCAGACAGGCAAGACACTCGGCCGAGCTCGTCACCTGTACAGCACAGCAACACAGCGGACAGGCACAACACTCGACCGAGCTCGTCCTCTGTATAGCACAGCGCACAATCACAACACCCCGCTGCCCACACAGGCCAAACACGGGCCAAACTTGTACACGTCTGACTAAAATGCAATGACGTTAGGAGCTACGCATGGGGGCAAGAGCCACACCACAACACTGGCCATTACGAACGTGTCCCAGCTTCTCAACGAGCGATTGCGCACGAGTCTCTCCTGTCACGAAATGCCAACCATGCGATGAAACATTGCTTTGAGAGCAAGGTAGTGTAGTCGGCTTCAGGGCTGCCCTGGAGGGTATCGCCCCGCGAGAACCCACGTGCTTCCCAGAGTCTGGCCCCCGTGCGGACAACACACGGCAGCAGTGATAGCCCACGCGCACCCAGTATTGCCCCGCCTGCTATCTCTCCTGCATTCCATTTTGAAGACGAAAAGTGCCCTAACCTAGTCGAACTGGTTTTCACGACACTTCTGGAAGCAAAGAAACGCATCGGAACAACGACCACGACGTGGGCATAAAACGAGCAACATAAGCAGGCCGTGTGCTCCAAACGGCCAGCCATTATGCCGGCGAGGTGTGCTGCTGAGCCTCCTGTGGGCGTGAGCCGGGCAGCTCGCCCTCGGCCTGCTCCGAGCGGCCAGCCATCACACTGGCGAGGTGCGCTGCTGAGCCTCCTGTGGGCGTGAGCCGGGCAGCTCGCCCTCGGCCTGCTCCGAGCGGCCAGCCATCACACTGGCGAGGTGCGCTGCTGAGCCTCCTGTGGGCGTGAGCCGGGCAGCTCGCCCTCGGCCTGCTCCGTGCGGCCCCTCACCTGTTGGCGCACGGCCTCTAAGCTCGCCTCGAAGCTGCACCCCTCACACTGCTCCCCCAGGATAGTAACGTCTGGATCCCACCAAACCGGCGGCCGGCCTGCGCCCGCCGGCACCGTCGTTCCCAGGCGAGCGTTTCTGTGTGCCATCAAGTGAGGTTTACTTACCAGAAACAAAACACACACCATCCTCACAACATAGCCCACCTTCGACGTCGGTGATGACGGACACGAGCTCATCGTCGACCTCGACGTAGCGTCGGCGCAGGTGGACGCAGCAGGCGCCGGGCGCAGGCGGCGGCGGCACGACAGCCGGCCGCACGCGCTCGGCCGGCCGCGGACTGGCCGTCAGCAGCGACGCCTCCGACTCGCAGTCGCTCTCGGCCGCCGCGCTGCTGAAGAACAACTCCGGCTCGGTGTTACAGTTGATGGCACGCAGCACGGCGTCACCGTCCACCGAGCGGCGCTCCTCAGCGGCGGCGGCAGCAGCCGCCTCCTCCGTCAGCAAGCGGCGCTTGGAGTTGATGCCGCCGGCCGGACTTAGTAGCGCGTCACTGACAGGCACAAGGCACGGGCCCTCGCCGCTCACCGACGGCCGCGCCGCGAAGAAGCGCGGCACGTTCTCAGAGTTCTCGTCTGAAAACTCGTACTTCTTGTCGGCCAACCGCTTCTTGCGAAAAACGGTGAAGTTCTCGCGGTGCGTTTCCGAGCCGTCCTCGGAGAACTCGTACTCGTCGGCGTTGATGTTGGCCTGCCGGACGGCAGGCAGGCCACGCCGCCAGCCGCGGCCGCACCGCTCGGCCGGGCTGGCGGCGCGCTCGGCGGTCGGCTCGGGTCGCGGCGGCCGCCGGCGCGCCTCCTCCGGCGGCCGAGGCGAGCGCAGCCGCGGGTCGTCGGCGCGCGGCGAGCGCGGGTCAAAACGCCACGGCAGGCCGCCGCGCGCCGCCGCCGGCGCCGGCCCCGGCTCCTCAGCCACGTCCACCTCCAGACTGCTGAGCGAGAGCTGGTCACTGCCGGCGCAACTGGCGTCGTCGGCCGGCGGCGGCTCCGGCCGCGGAGCCGCCACCTGCGCCGTCACCACGTGCAGGAAGTTGCCCGTGTTGATGACCACTGCGCCGCGTCGGCGCAGACTCAGCCGCGGCAGGAACACGGGGAACGGTGGCACCAGCTCGAAGCTCGTGTGCACAGTGGCGCCGTGCCGGAGACAGCTGAAGCGCACGCACGAGTCCCAGCTCTCGGCCAGCTCTGTCGGCCGCACATCAGCACCGGTCAGCTCTCGGCCAGCTCTGTCGGCCGCACATCAGCACCGGTCACACAGCCGGTCAGTCAGAGCCAGCACCGGTCACACAGCCGGCCAGTCAGAGCCAGCACCGGTCACACAGTCGGCCAGTCAGAGCCAGCACCAGTCACACAGTCGGCCAGTCAGAGCCAGCACCGGTCACACAGCCAGTCAGTCAGAGCCAGCACAGGTCACACAACCAGCCAGTCAGAGCCAGCACCAGTCACACAGCCTGCCAGTCACAGCCAGCACCAGTCACACAGCCAGCCAGTCAGCGCCAGCACCGGTCACACGGCCGGTCAGTCAGGGCCAGCACCGGTCACACAGCCGGTCAGTCAGAGCCAGCACCGGTCACACAGCTGGCCAGTCAGAGCCAGTACCGGTCACACAGCCGGCCAGTCAGAGCCAGCACCAGTCACACAGCCAGCCAGTCAAAGTCAGCACTGGTCACACAGCCAGCCAGTCAGAGCCAGCAGCTGTCACACAGCTGGTCAGTCAGAGCCAGCACCAGTCACACAGGCAGCCAGTCAGAGTCAGCACCAGTCACCGACCGCTGACTGAATTCGGGACGCATCATGCACGTTATGTGTTCAGCATGGACTCATTTCATCACTGACTCCACGACTGACCCATAACTGATAGCTGCGCGAGCTCAAACTTCTTTGCTGACTATTATGATTCTATGATTAATGCTTACGACCATTAAGTCAACGACCTTCAATACACAAGGAGGTAATGGTGAAAAGACGCTACAGTGCTAAACAATGATTGTATTGGAGGTACTCAATATTGCTTACCGCTATAACATAACTTAACCAGCACCTTCAGGCATATAAAAGGTCAATAACTCAGCAAACTAGCTTCACTTCATAATGCCAAAAATAAGGAGCTGAAAGCTCTTGTCCCTAATATCAAGCACATCTGACGGCTGTATACCGTTACCCAGGCGTTTGAGATAAACACAACATGGTCCGCGAATGATAGGCGGCGATGCACACTGGGGCTTACCGTCCTCGCCGTATGATTCGGCTACACGGACACAGTCGAGACAGGCGTCCAGCGAGGGCACGGCGGTGATGGTCAGGTAGCAGCGCGAGCCCTGCACGCTGTCCTCGGATCGATCGCTGCCGGCAGCGGCACCCGGTCACAAGGTCAACAGCGGCACCCGGTCACAAGGTCACCAGTGGCACCCGGTCACAGGGCCACCAGTGGCACCCGGTCACAAGGTCACCAGCAGCACCCGGTCACAGGGCCACCAGTGGCACCCAGTCACAGGGCCACCAGTGGCACCTGGTCACAGGGCCACCAGTGGCACCCGGTCACAGGGCCACCAGTGGCACCCGGTCACAGGGCCACCAGTGGCACCCGGTCACAAGGTCACCAGCGGCACCCGGTCACAGGGCCACCAGCGGCCAGGTCACGTCACAGCCAGACACGTCCAGACGGCGGCCAGGTCACGCCACAGCCAGACACGTCCAGGCGGCGGCCAGGTCACGCCACAGCCAGACACGTCCAGACGGCGGCCAGGTCACGCCACAGCCAGACACGTCCAGACGGCGGCCAGGTCACGTCACAGTCAGACACGTCCAGGTGGCCAGGTCACGTCACAGCCAGACACGTCCAGGCGGCCAGGTCACGCCACAGCCAGACACGTCCAGACGGCGGCCAGGTCACGCCACAGCCAGACACGTCCAGGCGGCGGCCAGGTCACGCCACAGCCAGACACGTCCAGGCGGCCAGGTCACGCCACAGCCAGACACGTCCAGGCGGCACACTACCGTGCAGGTCAGGACGTCGCCGATCTGACGGACTCGCTCACGTCACGCGGTCGGTGGTCACGAAGTCTTTCAAGCCTTCCATTGTCTAACTTGGACACAAGTGTCATTTGTTCTACCTTCTGGCACGCAGCGGCTGGTTTGTGCGACAGCTGGCATGGAGAACAAACGAGCAAGAAGGGAGAGCATCGGTGGAAACACGCGCACGCACGCAAGCACTATGCTGCATACTTTGAGTACACTACGTTACACCTTTAATATCTTGTGGAACTTTCCTTGATGGTACACCTGTCACCTGTGATCACCTGATGGCGGTCTGTGATATTAAGCATCTTAATCAAATTCAAACAAAATGTTTCAAGCAGCTCATGTAGTCCTTCCATCAGATAGAACATAATGCACAGAAAACACCACTGACCATTAATTCACAAGTATTTTATAATATTACGTCCACAACCCGAAACGGCATGACATCCCGGAATGCACTCCAAGCGTAACTAACCCCACAGGTGACGTCAGTGTGCAGGTTCACGGCTGTCCTCCGCCCCCCCCCCCCCCCCCTCTCCCGCTCAATCCTGTCGTCATCAGACCCCTACCAAAACAGTGTGATGGCAACATCCTACGCTGGCCCCCAACAGCAGTGTACTGGGCTGCGGCTGCCGGCGGGCGCCGGAGCCCCGGCCGGCCGGCCGACCCACCTGCAGCCGTACACCACCACGCGGTGGTCCTCCTCAGGCCAGTAGCAGACGGCCAGGAACAGGCGGCTCTCCACCGTCTGCTCACCGAACAGCGTCACCTCGGCCGCCTTGCGCAGCTTCTGGTGCGGCACAAAGATCCACCAGTGCAGCCGGTACCTATGGACGGCGTGCGGCTCTGATCACCGCCTCATGCAGCGGCCAAGACATGTCCAGCAGGAGGGCAGCAGGCCGCTGGCACTGCGGCCGGCGTCGCGCTCTCTGGCGACACTGGTGAGTGCACACGGCGGACGAGACACAGCGCGCGCTCCACGCTCTCCGGCGACACTAGTGAGTGCACACGGCGGACGAGAGACGGCGCGCGCTCCACGCTTTCCAGCGACACTGGTGAGTGCACACGACGGACGAGAGACAGCGCGCGCTCCACCCTGTCACAAAGATCCCTGACGAGGCACCAGTCAGCCCCACCACCCCGCTACGGAGCTAACACACACATTGAGCAGTGCGCTCACCTGAATTGCATGTAGATCATGGACGTCTCATCGAACTCGGTGCTCTGAGTATAAGAAATAACAAACTGACCACATTTGGAGAATCCCAGGAAAATGTGACTGAAACAGCAATAATTATGTCAATGCAAGGTATTCCCACCCTGCCACTGGCGCGCAGTGCGTCACAAAACGCAAGTCATATACCAAGAGGCTTCAACGTCAATCCAGCCAACGCCTTGTCATTTCACGCACATCACCTGGTCTTAAACAGAGTGAATGGGATATCAAAGCTAGGGAGCGGATGGTCCGTGCCTCTCCGCCATGAATTGCACCTAGCAGAATTATGAAACATGAAGATACTTGACGTCCGAACATGCATCTGTCAGTTCTTACAAATTCAAATCGATGAAAAATCAGATTATTCATTATCACTGTTGACGTGGAATGCAATGATCCATCCAGATAGCTCGGTTGGCTCGACCGACTGCCTTGAGATCCCCCATCAGCGGCAGGGCGGGTGCGGGCCGCTCCAGGCCGACCCCATTTGCCGTTGACGGCTGACGCCAAAGGGCAGGCTAGATCGTGTCGCGCATTTTGGCACGTTAAGATTTCACCACCAAATTCTACCGTTGATTTCTACCTGGATTTGGCGGTCGGAGGCCACGGATCAAGGCTCACACAACAAGCACTGCTTAAGCAAGCTCATCACAGAAAACCATCCATTAAAAATGTGTGGATTTCACCTTTTAATCATTGTCATCATTGAAACATAAGCTAGACTGACAAACGGACATCAACTGAGCATACCCAGCACTCACTTGCTCAATACTGAGGGCGATGGAACAATATCCTTCAGACAGAATGCAAGTCTGCCAGGAAACTTTGTGAACAGCGAAGCTGGGATCTTCGATCTTTTGGGGAAATGCCCCTGGACCTGTGAACGAAAGCATAAATACAGCGGTTTCCAATGTGACTGAAGTAACATTGCTCCACCAAAGATCATCTTGCAAGAGCCTTCATGCCGTACCCGCAGTGCACATATCGCGTCATATCCGCTTCGGCGAATCTCGCCATGCTCCGCCGCTGACACGCGCAGAACCACCCGGATGTAGTGCTGATGTGGCACCAACTGAGGTGCGGCAACATCGGTAAACACATTCGGCACTTGCCGGATGGGCAGGCGAGGCGGTCTGCTCTCTCGCCGCTCGAAACATCACACCGCGGACTGCTATCTCGCCGCCCGACACATCACACCGCGGACTGCTCCCTCGCCACTCGAAACATCACACCGCGGACTGCTCTCTCGCCGCGGTCTGCTCTCTCGCCGCCCGACACATCACACAGCGGTCTGCTCCCTCGCCGCCCGACACACCACACTGCGGACTGCTCTCTCGCCGCCCGACACACCACACCGCGGACCGCTCCCTCGCCACTCGAAACATCACACCGCGGACTGCTCCCTCGCCGCCCGACACACCACACTGCGGACTGCTCCCTCGCCGCCCGACACATCACACCGCGGTCTGCTCTCTCGCCGCCCGACCACATCACACCGCGGTCTGCTCTCTCGCCGCCCGACACATCACACTGCGGACTGCTCTCTCGCCGCCCGACACACCACACCGCGGACTGCTCCCTCGCCACTCGAAACATCACACCGCGGACTGCTCCCTCGCCGCCCGACACACCACACAGCGGACTGCTCTCTCGCCGCCCGACACACCACACCGCGGACTGCTCCCTCGCCACTCGAAACATCACACCGCGGACTGCTCTCTCGCCACCCGACACATCACACCGCGGACTCAGCCGACATGAATGTGTCTGCCTCCAGCCCACCAGCTGGCTGAAGGCAGCCCAGCGCCTCACCAGGATCTTTTGAAATACTGTCTGTTCCCTTGTGCAAGCCTTTTGCAAGTCCATTGACATCAGTGTGCTTCTCTCAGACTGGAAACTTGGTCATGTCTTCCCTACATGCGAGGAGGACAGCAGACAATAGACATCCTCCTACCACTCTGTTGGCTGGGCAGCAGTTTGACCCATGAAGCAAGGTTCCTTGGTGAGGCATATCGAATATTGGATAATGGTATAGCCTATTGGAGCACACAACAAATACAAACAAGCTCAGCCAGGCTCAAGCAAATTTTTGTCAAAAAATGCATGCTCCATTCAGCTATTGGATGCCATGAAGGAGTGGAATGAAGGCATCAACTTCAGTAAGACCTTTGATTCACTCCAACACTAACACCTTCTTCATAGGCTTCAGGGCTGTGATGTCAACAGCAAACTTATCCAATATGTTCCAGCTTTCTTGGCATGTCACTGACAGTATTCATGCCCAATTGCATGACAGATTAGAGTGAAGAGGTCTGTCACATTGCTCAGGCATCCATGTTGGGATTGTCTTTATACATCATTTTTGTCTGGACCACCCTTGATTTGAACAAGTTTCTATGAAGCTCCTCACCATCAAGACCAGCTCATACAAATGTGTGCACAGATGACTGGGCAGATCCACACTGCAGAAAGATCTGAATGCCTTGTTGTGGTGGTCCAAGTCCTGGTTCCTGCAGTTAAATGTGAAAAAGTGCATGACTTTGCACTTAGGTTGGCAATGCCCAAGAAGATTTACTCCTGGAATGGCATGGAGCTCCAGGCCATTGGAACCACATAAGATCCAGACTTTTGACACACAGTGGACCAAAGTTCTGTGACCAGAGAGCAGCAGCAGTGTTGCAGTATTCCAGGCATCCCAGATGCTAGATGTAATCCATGGATCACTTATGCCTTTACTGGTCTACCCTCCCATTACTGTGCACAATGTTAATATGCCATTCTGAATATAACTCTCACCTTGAACTATTCAGCAAGGTGGAGTAGAACACTTGGAGAGAGCAGAGGCAGGCTACACAGATTTGAAAATCTTTGAAATTCTGACTTGGCAGTCACTGCGTACTGCATACGTACTCTTTCCTTATACCATACATGAGAGAGGAGCTCACCATTTCAGGAGCTTGACATGAACAGAACTAACAGACCAAGTGGCCCTTCATATCCATGACAGCAGTAGGTAAGATAGGGTTATCATGCATCATGTCTACTTATCTATCACATGACCCCATTTACAGCATCTTTATTTAAGGTTGGTTGACTGTTTCTTGGGCTGCTTTCCTTATAAACATATTGTTCACCAAATCCTTATTAACATATTGTTCACCAAAAGCAAACCTGAATGACAAAAGAATGCAACTTACCTGACGATGCATCAGTTTTGAAGGAAGTGATTCGGATTGAGATGTCTTCATCATTGATTATCTGTTAGGCTGTTTTTGCAACCATTAGCATTTCATTCCTGTGAAATAAGCAGAAAATAGTTATTTGCCTCCCTAGTGCATCTCCCAGATCACAAAGGCCTATCACTGGGCTAAAAGATCTAAAAGTTGTAAGCTAGCATGGGACAGCAGCAATTAATTTTAGGTCAACCAATAATTTTCATTGGTGTTAAATGGATCAAAGGACAATTTTGGCCTAGAGTTGGTACCTTCCAAGCAATCCTTGTTCTATATATCACGAACTCACCAGTCTAGTTGTACCTCTCAGTTGTAGTCAATTCAATTCAATCTTGATCCTTTCACTAGACAGAGCCAAATAGAGTTTTACACATTTACAATACTGCAACATGGCCACCCAGATGGCTGCTTTGCCTCAATTAGCCAGCTGTGAGCTGACCTTTCTGTTAACTTAGCCAAATATTATATTCACTCTGAGACTTTTGTCAAGTGACACTGGGCATTTCACATGACCTGCACATGCTCAGCAACAGAAGTGGATCTAGATCTCCCTCCCCCTTGACCATGAAGGTTAGCATAACCATGTTAGCCACAGGTTAAAATAAAGTTATGACTGTCATACAACTTTGATGGCAAAACAACTTCATATAATAAATATGCATCATGTTCATAAACAATATAAATGCAAATGTATTAATGTATGTGTATATATATATATATATATATATACATATAATATATATATATATATGTAAGAGTCACAAGGGCCTTTTTCCAGAAGAAGGGCCCACGGCTGTCTGATGCACTGATCTTACAAAGGTAGGCCTGCCACAATCCTTACATCCAGCCTATCAATCTGAATGCTCGGCCACCTGTGGTCTCGATTTCCACTGCCCCCAAGCTACAGGTGGGTCTACAAATGGACAGGAACAATGAATATGGAGCAGCAAGCAGGTCCTATCAGCAATGACGGGTTTATGGGACTGACGACACGTAAACTGCTCCCAAAGTACCGCTAGTTTGCACATGCTTGCCTCTCAAAACAGCTGAATTAACTGAATCCAGCATGACAACCATGCCAATTGGTATCGCTATGCATCATAAATTTGCAAATGCTTTAAGAATCTTGGCCAAACTATGTTGTAACTCATGACACAATACCAACAACTCGCCTTCTCGTTCCCCATCAACACCGAACCGTCCCCATCAGGCGAGGTCTGCCGCGGCGGGGCTGCCAGCTGATCATGCGAGACGGTGCGCCCTGTGAAGGTCACAAAACCTTCAGCTGATTGCAGGCGTGACGTCACAAGACCACTAAACACCCCCGCAATAAACGTTCTGGCTGGAATGCAATAAAAAGTAGCTGGGCTTGCGTTCCTTGCTAGCCATCTTTTCACAGCACCAGATCACCACCGCATGATTGGTCCCAAGACATAGACCTGGGAAGCTACAACTCGCCAGCATCAAGCGTCGAATCAAGCATAAATGCGAATGGCATAATAAAATAATGACCCCTAGTGTCTAAACGCGCTTGACCCTGGCGACCCCTATGTGGGCATGTGATCAGACCTTCATGATGTGCTCTTTAATTGTCCAAATGAATGTTTAATGCGGGTTTTTGGACCACCCGAACAGGGGCGTAGTCAGGGGGAGCCGCATGGGGAGATGACCGCCCCCCCCCCCCCCCCCCCCTCCTCACAGAGGCCAATGGGCTCTCCTCAGTGCACTCGGCTGTAATTCTCAAGGTAACCAACAGCGGCAGAATAAATGCAGATTTGTAACAAGAAGCAGGAAAAACAACAACATCCAGCCTCGACAAAGCCGGAAACGGGCATACCACACGGGAATGCAGGTCACACGAGCAGAAAAACCTTTTGGGTGCTTGTGAGAGCTGTTACTGGAAAAACAGTACTATAACCCAGAGCGCTGCCCAGGGGCTCTGTACCTGCTGACAGATCCCCACATGTTGACCGGGCGAATTTTCTCCATCGCCCAGGGTGCCTTCCACATTAATATCGAATTATTCTTCTCAGTGTTGTTTCCTGTTCAGTTGGAGCGTCCCCCCCCCCCCCCATCCCCCCGAATCTGAGTTCCTGTCTCTCCAACTTCGGGCAGAAAGCTGGTCAAATCCAAGAAAAAATTCGTTTGCTAGCGTTATTTAGGGACTGGGTTCCGCCATTTTCCAACGTTCAGCCCCCGAACACGTGTTTTTAGAAATCATACGACCCTGGTTCTTCCCTTCTGCTTGCAGGGTCTTATGAGACCGGACGCCCAATGTCTCATTCCACCACCGCACTCACGACCGCACTGTGGCCGTCCACATTGGTCTCAAAGTTCTTCCATTTGCTCGGGGCGCCCTGCGCTGCCTCGCGCCTGGGGATACACGATAGCTTTGAGACCCTTTGCGATGGTTTTTGTTTTTTTTTCCATTTGCCTGAAAAGCTCTGCGCTATTACAGAAATCCTATCAACTAACCCGCGAAGGCTATCTAATGGTTTGAAGTCCTCCACATCGGTACAGCGTTTTTCTCATCCACGAAAGTTTCCACTGTTTTCGGGTGTCTTATCTGTACTGATGAATAAATGACGCATAATGACACTCACTTGAGGGAGTCCCAGGTCGGGAAAAGCTATGTTGTCATTCGGACTCTACGACGCACCCAGCTGCTGAGGCTATATGGCGTCGCTTGCCCTCACCCCGGCAGGAAGAGCGGGCACCGCGGGGAATCGAACCCCCTGCCTCTGGTTTCCCAGACGCGCAGCGGTTGGTATAGAAGCGTTAATCACTACACTAGCGACACTCCGGGCAAAGCTACCAATCACATCTTTGAGTAACGTGTTTCCTCGCACGCAGAACTTTATATCGCCCTTGTTCATAAGCAAATCGTCGCACACAAATTTCAATCCGCAAACCTTAGTGTTGGAGACCTTCGTACGCAAAACTCGGGACGTAAACCTTCACATTCACGTTGCTGTTCACGAAAAAAGTTGCGCCCGTGAAGCGTCGCATAATTGTAGGCGTCACAATTATTTTCATGTACAGATTTTTCGTATTGCATTTACGCGTACCACATTGCCTCGTACTGTTATGAATCTAGCTTGTCAGGTTCCTAGTAATTCGTTCGTTCTTGCCCAGCGACAGACTAACTTATCAACGTGGCCTAATCAGCCACGCACACTTGGCAGTCAAATATCAACAGTTCAAATGTGGCATGCATTTGCCATCAACATCGAACCTTACAGCTATGATTCCATTCCTCACAGGTTCCACCCATCAATTCAAACTCATTCTTAGCGTCTTGAATAGCACGCCAACTTTTGATGAAACGGTGTGTAACAATGCCCTCTTCGCACCTGGACCACTATCTTCAACCGGCGGCGATCCGACGACACCAAGCCCAGACCAGCAGCATCCGGTTGCCCTGGTACGCGTTTGGTGTTGTACGGAACATAGTCAAATCTCAGAGACATTGGATGGTCCCACACCTTGCTGATAATCATTGCACACGTACTGTGTATATGAGCCTCGTATGCGAGGGCCCATGTGGATACATGGGCCCTCGCAAGGTAAACATCCGTGCATCATGCACTAACAAGCCTTATTAAAAATTTTGCACCCACACAGTGGTCAGGACTCCGATGCACCGGTGTCATTTGCGAAACAACATTATGCCTGCCGCGCTACATACCATAGATAACTGCAAGCGAGCAGATATAAGACCCGGATGGCTGGATGATCCGGATGATCAGGATGAAACTGGCAACCATACCAGAATGTCGCACATCAGGGCAAACCTACGCCCGTTTGTAAGTGCAGCCTCGCAGCTAGCCAACCCTAACTGAGATACGATAGCAGTTCTCGCGTGGGTGGCTGCCTGTTGAATGTACCAATAAACACTGCTTAAAATAAGTTCTGGGTAAAACACCTGCGCTCGTTCTTAGCACAAGGAATTCAGGCCACCCTCCTTACATAACTCGATTGGGGACCGACTCTCCGCAGCCTTGCACCTAGCCAGGTGTACAGCACAGCTGAACACCCTGAAATGTAAGCGATAATGATGACCAGTTTCACAGACCGGAGCACCACACGCTAATGCTCCGCCTACCGCAGACCGGAGCTGCACATGCTCCGCCTACCGCAGACCGGAGCAGCACATGCTCCGCCTAAGGCAGACCGGAGCAGCACATGCTCTGCCTACCGCAGACCGGAGCAGCACATGCTCCGGCTACCGCAGGCCGGAGCAGCACATGTTCCGCCTACCGCAGACCCTCGAAGTCCATGAGATCGCTTAGATTATCTGCCGTCATGTTCAGGTTCATGCGCCGCAGAGCAGTCAGCAGTTTGTCCATCGGGTCCTCGCGGTGCAGACACGGCGAGCTGAGGAACCGCACCACCACCGACCGCGTGAACTCGCTGACCGAGCGGCTCGACTCCTTCAGGCCGTCCACCGTGCCGATGGGCAGCCCCAGCTCGTACGCCAGCTCCCGCGAGTGCGAACTGCCCAGGTTGCTGGCCAGGTTCTGGATGACGGGCCGGTACCGCTCCACGTCTCCGGCGGCCGGCGCGCCAGCGGGCCGGGGCGAGGCGCGAGGGCCCTGGACCGGCGCGCGGCTCGGTGGCTGATGCATGGTTGGTGGCTGCGTGGAAAGGCTCGGCTCCACTTCCAAGCTGGACGGCTCAGGGAGCTGCGGCAGGCTCGGGCTCGCCCTCCGGGTGGCGGCCTCAAGCACCCGCAACCGCTCCACCGTCCACGGGATACGGCACTCCAGCATGTTCAGCTGCTGCTCTGGCATTGCCTGACGCATAGCCTCCCACAGGCGAGGCTCGTTCGCCACCATCTCCCACGGCAGACCCCCGTCAGGCCAGTGCTGCTCCAGCCCGGCTCGCCTCGCTACATAGACAGGGTTCGCTGGGCGACGTGCGCGTCGTGCGGCGTAGCTTCCCATTTTCAGCATCACCTGTTAGAAGAAAACTCGATTTACTATGCGGTTAAATACAACGCTTATTTCTTTCAAAAGACACTACCATGGCGCTTTGCAGCTATCCGAATATGTTCCCATTCAGTTACGAGCAATACTGAGTCATGGAAGAACAAGACTTTACTCAAACTCCCAAGCTATGAAACAATTTAGCCCATTTGAACATTGCGAACTCGTGGTTTCTACGTCCAGGGTATGTGACGAGATGTTTGCCCAGCAGACACGTCTGGATTGTTTGTTTTGTGTGAAATTTATTGCACTCCACTTCGGCTCCGAGCACACCTAAATTCGAGGCCACTGACTTTGAACTCAGCTTCTTATTTCAAAACTGCGAAGCCACCGGCTTTGACTTCTGCTTCGCAATGACAAACTTTGGCCTTGACTTTGGCTTCACACCGCCGTATCGCCTTCGGGTTCCGCTTTGATGCCAGTAGTCCGGCTTCGTCTCCAATGGCTACACTCCAGCACCCAGTCTGGGGAAGCTAGATCCAAACTTTACACAACTGTCCATACCTGGACTATATAAGTTGTTTTCACCAGTCCGGGACGGTGAGCTATGACCCTGTGTCTCCCTCCCCAAACCCTTGGATCCTATGACCCTGTGTCTCCCTCCCCAAACCCTTGGATCCTATGACCCTGTGTCTCCCTCCCCAAACCCTTGGATCCCATGACCCTGTTGTCTCCCTCCCCAAACCCTTGGATCCTATGACCCTCTGTCTCCCTCCCCCAACCCCTGGATCCTATGACCCTGTGTCTCCCTCCCCAAACCCTTGGATCCTATGACCCTGTTGCCTCCACACCCCAAGCCCTTGGATCCTATGACCCTGTGTCTCCCCTCCCCAAACCCTTGGATCCTATGACCCTGTGTCTCCCTCCCCAACCCTTGGATCCTATGACCCTGTTGCCTCCACACCCCAAGCCCTTGGATCCGCGAATGTAAACATGGGGGGTGACAACCAGCATGCACCGTATGGGTTCCGTATCTCTATATGCCGAAGGGGTCGTCCATAACTTATTTTATGCATGGCTGGATGGAGGGGAACATTTCGGTAAGTAGCCGAACCGTAATATAGGAAAAGGGGAACCTTTGGACAACATAAACACTACACTTAGGTCTGGTTGCAAATAATCATATTTTAAAAAAATTGCTAGGTCCTTAAGGACGGATATACCTGCGTCCTCACGTGACAAGGAGCACGTTCGTTTTTCGTTCCATATCTATAGTTCTGCAAGGGATCAAACGGACACTCTT